TTTCATTTGTTAATTGGTTTTCTGAGCTCATTAAATTGCCTGTCTGTATTTTCCACATCGTGTTGAGTATTTTCAGAACTGCAATCTTGAATTCCTTGTCACTTACATCACATATTTCTATGTCTTTAAGTTTGCTTTCTGGAGATTTTTCATTTTCTTTCTTAGTTATTCGTGGTATTTGATAGATTCCTTCTCTTTCTAGGCATGTATGTATGAGTGGCACCTCTCTAGCAGATTAACATGAAGAAGTCTTCCTGTTATTTTCTAGTGGATGGTGCTGAATCACAAGTTTCTTAGTTCTGTGAAATCCCAGTTCTGTCTCCTGAAGCCAGATGCTTCTGTCAGTGTAGCAGCAATGAGTGGGGGTGGAATGGGCTGGGGGAAATGGCTGGCTTCTTTGTTGTTTTGCTCTCCTAATAATGTCAACCTTAGGCCTCTGTAGGGTTCCCTCTGTGCCCCAACCCTGGGATCAATCACAGCATGCACCTTTCCTCAGGGAAAAAGTGATTCTGTAGTACCAGTTCTCATGTTTGCAGACAATGTGCTCCACAACTCAACCCCAAGGGTGAAGGGAGGTGAGCTTTGGAGGCTACAGGGCAATAGGGCTCTGTGGCTGTTTCTCTGTCTGGGATGCCAACTGCCTGACAGCCATGCCTGTGCCACCATGCTGTGTCCTTGCCCAGGTCTCTGAGCTCATCTGCAGCAGCTAGTACTGCTCGCTTTTGCAGGAATGCCCACCAAATCTATTTGCTCCTCCTGGCTAAGTGGAGTGCCAGACACAACCAGGATTCTTTTCTTTCCATGCTGAGCCTCACCATGAACTCCAGGCTGCAGGGCTACATTCCTGACTTATCCCAGCTCTTTTCCTGACTTACCTCCCCCTTTGGCTCCTATGTGCCCACTTTAGATGTTTCAATGCGCAAATATCTCAGGCATGTTTGCATGTTGATCAGGGAATCCTTTGCTGAGTTATAGCTACTCAAATGGTTGAAACTTCAAGGGAGAGACCAAGGGGATCTCTCACACCATCATGCTTCTGATGTCCACAGCTTAATTTTAAAGAGGATAATTCAAACACAAAATTCACAAGATTCTACTGTGTGAAATTATGTTTTTATTTATAAAGGCTAGAGGTTGCCTTATTGTTATAAAAGTTACTAAGATATGTGTAATATATTTGGAATAAAATTATAAAATACAATTTATTTTTATCCCTTGATCTTGGAATCATAATAGGAATGCCCAAGCCTATATTTTTTGACAGTTAGTGAAAGCTAATCACCAGGGTTCTTCTGTGAGCGCTGTGTGCTCTAATTTAATCCTTTCCACAGCCCCAAGAGATAGTCTCATGTTAGAGGAGGAAGGTAACGCACAGAAAACTGGGGCCACACTGCTGGAAAGTTTAGAGAAAAACATCTATATCTTTCTAACACTAAAGCCTGTGCTCTTACCCCCTAGCTGCCTGTACTTTGTTTTTCTCAAGTAGATAGGGCAGTAAGAGAGGTTGCTGGTTAAAAGAACCCTGAACCTGTGTTCAGCCTAACCCTAATTCTGGTTCTAGCTCCTGACTTTCTACAACTTACTTATCTTTTCTAGGCACATAAAGGTAATTGATCTCTAGATATTTTCTAGATCTATAGATTAGTTGAAAGAAGATTCTACTTTTACCAATTAATGATGTTGTTGGTCACATTTGGTGTGGAAATTACACAATGGTCAGGAAAGGAGAGTTGATTCATTCAATTGATGCATATTGTGTACCTGGGTAGCTCTGGGATTCCAATAGACAACAGGGCAGGTGAGGGCTGTCCTTGAAACTTATATTCTTGTTGGAGGTAGGGGGCCTGAGGAAACAAAGAAGGAGCCAACAAACAAGTTAATTAACAGACAGTTGCAAATTTTTAACAGACTGTGATAAAAAAAATGGAGTGGAGGCCACATTGGTTTTGGTGGTAAAAGGAGGCTTCATCAAGACTTCCTTTTTTTTTTTTTAAAAAAAATCTTCACCCAGGATATGTTTATTTGTTTTAGAGAGAGTAGAAGGGAGGGAGAGAGAAACATTGATGTGAGAGAAAAAGATCGATTGGTTGCTGGTTGCTTTCTGTGTGTGCCTTCAGTAGGGATAGAACCCACAACCTAGGTATGTGCCCTGAGTGGGGATTGAACCCTCAAACTTTCGATGTATGGAACAATGCTCCAACCAACTGAACCACCCAGCCAGGGTAAGACTTTCTGAGTTAGGAAGATAAGATAGGCCTAGTGATATTAATTCCTGCACTGAGACCTGCAGGGGCAAAGTGTGCATGAAAGAATGGGGCATAGTCTAGAAGTTGACAGGTTTTTGTGAGAGGGGATTTTGTGTGATTGATTCCAGTTGAGGTTGGAGACATGAGGTGAAACCATGTCATACAGGGCTTTTTGTGGGTTGGTAAAGCCTCTAGGTTTCCATTTAATAGCAATGGAAGACCACTGAAGGGTGGTAGGCAGGGAGGTAACATGAAGGTGATTGCAATGAAGCCCAAATAAAAGACGATGGCTCAGCTTGGGTAGTAGCAGTGGAGGCAGAATGTGGGCTACCCAGCCAGGACCAAAATTGATTTTTAAAATAACATTTATAATAGGATCAAAAGTATCAAATAATTGAGAATAAATCTAAAAAAATATATGCAAGACCTCTATGGGACATATTTTAAATATTGAATTAATGAGAAAGACTATTAGTTTGAAAAACTCAGTATTATGAATGTCTTTTCTCCACAATTTATTTATAGAGTCAATGCAATTTCCATAAAAATCCTTGCTGTGTATTTGTAGAGCTTAACAAGTTGATTATAAAATATATATGAAGCCCTTTCCCACTTTCTTTTTCCACTTCCCAGACATTTCAGTTCAAAGGCATGGGGACAAAAATGGAGGTGTGGTGTCCCACAGTGAGGTGTTGGAGCCTGCATGGGATGAGGAAGGTGTAAGTCTGAAAGGGTCACACTGCACAGTGTTGACCCTCAAGTCAGAGCATCGCTGAAAAGTGAGCAACATGGGATGAAACATCAAAGACTGAGCAAGGTCAGGAGGCCTCCATAGAAGGGCAGGAGGACAGCCCAGTTTGGGTTTTCAGAGCCCGAGGAGGCTAAATTATCTGCAGAAGAGGTGGCCTGGCACAGGGTGTCTGAGAAAAGATGGGGTGCAGAGGGCATACACTTGGGAGAAACATCAGAGGAGACCAACATGGGGTGCTGCAATCCAGAAAACCATAGGCTGATCTTGGAACATCTTGTTGTCTAGAGAGTAAGGAAATGCTTAAAGAATAATGGAGACAGGTTAAAAAGACATGAAATCAGCTTGAAATGACTACTACCTCTGGCCAAATCTGGGGGAAATTTAGCACCAAAATAAGTTTTCCATCTCCCTCATTTGTTTGTTTAATTTGGCATTATGTACTTATAATGTAGAAGGAATGACAGAATAAGAATATCTTCATTTGACAATCAGCACAATAATAATTGATTCAAGCAAGAATAACCAGTGGATGTTAAATCTAGTGGGTGAAATTTTGAAGAGTAGCCAAATGTTGGGTTGGCCAAAAGGTTCCTCCACACAAGATACTTGTAAAATATAATAGGTAAATAGTAATTTTACTGTGGACAAACCTGGCAGACAGTTCTTAACTACATGACCAAAGTCAACATTGCCAGTAATCGAACAGAGTATGTGCCTCCAGATTTGTTGTCCTGCAAAGAACTCAACATCACTTGTGTGGCATTCATGACCAAATGGCGTAACTGGCCTATAGTTTTCAAAATGTAAATGTAATTGATAGGGGAATTCAAGAGTTAAAGATTTTAGCTTTACTTATAGTTGATAAGCTTTAGTGATTAATACATGTGGAAAACTGTTGTTCCAGGAACTGGAATGCATGACCTATGTGATTCTAGGAGGTCAACAAGCAATTCAACCTTTGTGCCCCAGGGGTTCTGCAAGTGATGGGGATGGCATCTGAGCCATTGTGTTCTAGGGAGATAAAGAACTGTTCATCAGCAGATAAAGAAATATTAGGAAGATTGCAGCCACTCTTATCTGATTAACCTTTTTCCAAACCCCTTACCTACCCTTTTCTGATTCTTATAAAAAGGTCATCTTGAGATGAGATGTTAAGATCATTTTAAGGGTATATAACAGGCCATCTTCTCAGATGGGTGGCATCTGAATAAAGTGCCCATAAAGATTCAATCCTTGTCTCTACTTATTGGTACTGGTAGTGACATGCAGCATGACTGCCAACTTTTCTGGTTTCATCATGAACAGCACAGGAAGCCTAAGGTATGGTCCCAGATTGAAGGAGACTAAGGAAACAGGACAATTGGATACAACACATCATCTTAGATTTTCTTTGACTATGAAGGACATTGTTGAGACAACAGCAAAAATCTGAACAATGCCCAAGCTAAACATTAAAACTGAACCAATTTTAATGTCCTGATTTTGATCATTATACCACAGTTCTTTTTTCTTAAGAAATACACACTAAAGTATTTAGGAATAAAGAGGCATCATGTCTGCAATTTACAAATGGTTCATATATTATATATGATAAGTTTTATGGCACATAAGGATTGTAATACATCCAATCATTGATGGTAGCCATAGCAGCACATATCAAAATGATGTCTAAATCTTTAGAACCAAATGTAGTGATAAACTGAAAAATACAAAAGGCTATCAATTAACACCACTAAAGTATGAATGACCACTTGGTTGTTTGGGTGTTGTTTAAATAGCTGGTATTTGGTCAGTCTGAGTATGTAAAACTCAATAGTGCTGGCTTTCATTTACAAATTACAAAATCTGCTTAAAACTTAGATGCCAAGAAGCACAGTTTAAAATACTTTAGAAATTTTCATCATACACATATGATCCAAAAATATTTTTCTTTAATATAGATTTCACATATCATGTGTTTAATGGAAAATAATTAAAATATTATGTAAAACAGTCCAGTAAATAAATTAGTACTTATATTTCAGATCATATAATTTTTCTGCAAAATTTGTGCATATTCTTGTGATGTTTTCAAAAGTAGATCTTGACATGAATTTGCCTTATCAATTGATCCTACAGGGTAAGCTCTGTAGGCTTCAGCTTCAAATTCAGCAGCATCTGGAAAGAAAAAGAGATAATTACATTTTTTTATCTAAAATACAAATAAGTGTGAAGAAGAATGAAAACATCTATGTTTGACTACAATACACACACAAGATTACTATGAAATGTCATTTGTCCATGGTTGCACACTGAGTTCACTGCTATTGTGGCTAAGTAGCAGAGCTTCTGGTTTTCTTGTTCTTCATTCATTTATTCAACAAACATGCGCTAAGGGAGTATGACAAGCATTGGAGTTATAGGGTGAAGATGACACAGTCCACCCCTGAACAATCATATACTGTAAGCTGAAAAGACAGATGAACAGGCAGTTTCCACTCAGTCATATATACAACTACAAATATAAAACAGGACACTACTGGATCACACAGAAGGGACTTCCCAGTTTTGTGTCAATATTGTCAGCTTTTTGATGGAGATGATATATAAATTGGTACCTGAAGGACAAGGAAAGAATATGCCAGATAGACAATGAAGCAGATGCCCAGATTAGAGGTGAGGGAGAACACTAGTGGAATTAGAAGTTTTCTAGTTTGGCTAGATGCCAGAGCAAGGAGGCAGAGTAGGGTAAGTAGCATCTAGAGATAAATTTGAATTATTTGGCAAGAACTAAATGGATTTCGGTGTTTTTACTCCATGCAAAGGAATATGGAGTTTTTCCTAAGGGTCAAAGGCAAACCAATGACAATGACAAAGTCAATGACTGGAGAGTTAAATGCTGCTCCTCAGTGGCAGCAGCTATATGAACTGTAACTACTTGACTGAGTATTATGGGATGAGTCAGGTTATTTAGCCTAATATCACTAGCAAAAACAGGAGAAGTGGATGAAGCCTGGTTTTCTGACAAGAGTTTCAGTGTGCAGGCTGACAGATCCATCGGCAGGGCAGAGGAAAGGCAGGGGAGAAAATATGTAAACAGATGCTGTTTACTATTTAGATTATTTCAGAAATCAATGATATAAAAATTTAAATACTATAAAGTATGGCAACATACCTTCTTTAAGTTCTCTAGTTAGAGCTTTTTCTAACTCCTGCCGCATCTGAAATAAATCAAATATTATTTATAGTATTTAAGTTAAAAAAGAAACATTATTATAGGAATGATATATAGCTTATGTAAAGTATCCTTTAAATAATTTTATTTAATTTTTATTTATTTTTAAAGGATTTCATTTATTTATTTTTAGACAGAGGGGAAGGGAGGGAGAAAAAGAGGGAGAGAAAATATGAGAGAAAAACATCAATCAGTTGCCTCTTGCACGCGCCCTGACCAGGGATGGAACCCACAACCCAGGTATGTTCCCTGGCTGTTGGGGACCACTTTGTGTGGTATTGGGAATTGCAGCCCCACGTGAGACAGGCCTTGGAAGAGGCCTATAAGTCTTGACCGGAACACCGGGAGTGCTTGGAGGCAGACATGACCCAATGCTAGCACCAAGGGTTCCCGTGGGACATCCAGCCTAAAGAATGCATTGTATCCACTGAAGCTTGCTCTGCTTTACACAGCCCTGATAATGAAAAACTAGGTATCTAACCTCAAGGCAGGGGAGAAAAATCCTGAACCCCTGAGCCATGTTTTAATGACCATCTGGCGTCAACATGTCTGACAGACCCTGAACTAGGACAGATCTCTGTATTTCTTCAATTTGTTATCTATAGCCCTTTGACGTGGACTGATAAGCCTTGCACGCCTGATGTGTACCCCTGCATGTACTGATCCCAATAAAAGCCACTTCAGGAAAGGGTTTGGGGCATTCTCCATTAGAGGGAATCGCCACCTCTTTCTTTTGGCAGACCAAATGTGTCTGGAATGACTTATTCTCATCTGCAATGGCCAGAAAGTCTCCATGGGACCGAGACTCCCTCATTTGACTAGTAAATGAACCAGCGAACTTTCAGTTTGTGTGATGACACCCAACCAACTAAGCCACTCTGGTTAGGGCTAAATAATAATTTTAGAGACTAGACCTAACTTGGGGATCACATAAATAAATAAATAAATAAATAAATAATCACATAAATAAAATCAATTCTCATTTACTTTTAGATAATAGAGAACATAGATAGGTAAATGATACTTAATCTGATAAAAAGTACTATCGATATTGGTCTATTGAATAAACATGACATCAGAAAAGAGATGTTTGATCTCACTGGTATAAAGGAGTTTAAACAAATCAAGTCACATTGTACACGGAATGCATTATTTTGCAATTGTTAGAAAAACTGCCCTTTATAAAAGTTTAATCAGGTACTTCTGGTCAAGATAGCAATGTAGGTAAATGTAGTACTCACATCTTCCCACAACCACATCAAAATTACTACTACAGCCATCACTCAGAACCACCTGAAATCCAGCTGAATGGAAGTTCTACAACTAGGGATTTAAAGAAGGAGCTACACTGAGACTGGCAGGAAGGGCAGAAACGTAGAATGGGCTGGTCCCACATCCATGTATGGTGGATAAATATCAGAAGGGATATCTTGGCTGCAGATATTCTGAGAAGTGAGGGGTTCCAGCCCCATAACAGGTCCCCCAGCATAGGGTTCCAGTGCTAGGAAGAGAAGTCCCCATAACTTCTAACTGAAAAGCAGTGGGGATTGAGGCTGAGTGTGACTGAGGGCTTCTGGAGACCCAGGCATTTCCCTTAAAGGGCCCACACAAGACTTACTTTGACTCACTCCCTTTGAGCTCCAGTACTGGGGCAGCAGCTGAAAAGGCGCAAGAGATATCCAGGGAAGAACTGAATTGTCTAGTACCTGGCTGAGAACTGGGGTGGGGACAGTTTTCTGCCAGACAGAAGTGGTAGCAGAGCTCATTGTTCCTTTTGTGAGACCCTGACCCACTACAGAGCAGGTAGGTGGGCACCATATCTGAGTTTCCATCAATCAGACACACACTATTGGCCCTGCCCTGGTGACTCCCTGAGACCCCGCCCCACTCAACCAGTGGGCCCACCTAAGCAGTTTCTAGTGGCTTTTTCATACAAATGGCCTGTCTTGGCTCATGCTTTACACTTTCCTAAAATATCTCAAACAAGTAGCATCTGGCTTCAGCGTGCTCCATACCTCTCGCTAAGTGGCCTCAAACTAGCACTAGCAGCAGCCATCTGCTGATTGATTTGTAGCTGGTGCCAGTTGGATCTGGGCAGAACACAGGTGGCAGCTGACCTTGGCATGCACCTTCCAGGAGCTCTCTGAGTCAGCACACCCACTGGACAGCTCCAGACCACATTGAAGATCCAACCATTCCACAAGTGACACACTTAAGGGGCAGACTCAGCTGGCACCAGAACCCAATGAAGTAAGTCCACTCCGTGGGGTTGGCCCCTGCACAGCTGACCCCCCACAGTGGTCGATGGTCACAGCTAGTCCTTGCAGCCAACTGGCCTGGGGGTAAATACCTAGCATCAATGTGCCAACAACAATCAAGGCTCAACTATAAAAGAAGTGTGTATACAGCCTACACAGAGGGCACACCTGGAGTGCAGCCAAGCTTGTGTGAGTGGGGAGGTTGTGCCACCGGACCGTACAGAACACCTACTATGTAAGGCCACTCTACCAACCTGGGAGATGTAGCAGTTCTACTTAATACACAGAAGCAAACACATGGAGGCTGCCAAAATAAGGAGACAAAGTAACATGTCCCAAATGTAAGAGCAAAACACAAATCTGGAAAGAGAACTAAACAAATGAGACAAGCAACCTACTAGATGCGGAGTTCAAACATCGGCTATAAGGATGCTCAGTGAACATAGAACTACAACAGCATAAAAAGGACACGGAAGCCATAAAAAAGAACCAGAGAGAAATGAAGGACACACTAACTGAAATGAAGAATAATTTGCAGAGAATCAACAGGACAGTAGACTAAATCAAGAATAAAATCAGCAATATGGAACATAAGAAAGCAAACACACCCAATCAGACAGCATAAAGAAAAAACAATCCAAACAAATAAGGATAGTGTAAGGAGCCTCTGGGACAACTTCAAGTGTACCAACATTCATATCATGGGGGTGCTGGAAGGAGAAGAGAGAGAACAAGAAACTGAAAACCTATTTGAAAAAATAATGACAGAAGACTTCCATAGCTTGGTGAAAGAAATGGACATACAAGTCCAAGAATCACAGAGAGTCCCAAATAATATCAACCCAAAGAGACCACCATCAAAGACAACAAAAGAATTTTAAAACCAGCAAGATAAAAGTCTTTATGTACAAGGGAGCTCCCCTAAGACTGTTGGCTGATTTCTCAACAGAAACTACTCAGGCCAAAAGGGACTAGCAAGAAATATTCAAAGTGGTGAAAAGTAAGGACCTATAACATTTGTGAAGTCATTTACCAGTACAAGAGTCTCATTAGATTTGTTGCCAAGGTTTTTATGGCACACTAATCACATAGACATCTTCCCTGAAGCATGTACCAAAATTCCAGATTCCCAGAAGGCAAGTAAGTATTCAGCATGAACCCCATTGATTGTACAAATAGTTTAGACACAGTGAACCACTCTTATCAGTTAGAGAATGGTGGGAATCCTTCTTATATTCAGGTTTCCAGATGCCAACCAAGGCTAGCCACTGAAGCAGGACTTTCTAAAGATAGCAGTCTTAGGCATGCTATATGAAATTTTTCTGCACAGTAGTTACCACCCTGACTTAATTACTGGTCTCCTAAAATTTAACACAGATTCAAAGAATATGGATTGAAGAACTATCATGTCACATATTACGTTAGGGACACAAACACTTGCACACAAAAAATTTTAAAATCAGAGAAATTTCATCTGTTATGAAGTAGTCTGAAGTGAATTTTTAAGTTTTCAGTTCTAAGAAAAAATCTAATGAGTGATGTATCTGTTCAATGATATTTGTATTTTATAATATCATTAAATAACACAATTGACTAAACTATAAAATTTGCAAGAATGTGAAAAGTCTAGGTAAAAATTAGCAAAACAGATATGTAGTAATCTATACTACAGTGGAATCAAGTGGGCAGGACTAAGCTTCATGTAATGGTGAGAAAGGCAACAAATCTAAGTATTTTGAAAGTGGAGAAAATTTGCTTCAATAATGAGTGCAACTGAAATCATACACTTGGAGTGATGTTTTATTATAATTATTGTCCTTAATGTTAAAAATAAAAATGCTGGATAAGAAATTCACACTATAAGTAGTCCAAAATGTTAAATGAAGCCTTACAAATAAAAGGGATTGATAAATTCAATATTAATGCTACTTTTAACATGATAGTTTCCAGAATGATAGCTAAAAATCTTTACAAGTCTGTTTTGTAATGCCCTATCCAAAACCTCACCTCTTTCTATCATTTTAGATAGCATGTTACCACCTCTCAGAATTATTTTATGTTTGCTAGCGGCAATAATTAAATTCCCAGTAACTCTAAAAGACACCTTATTCCTGTAAGTCTAACTAAGAATTCTGTAAACAGCTGTAAAATACAAGTCTTCCCAGGCATTCTAGAGAAATTTTGTGACGTATTTCACAAAAGAGTGGTACTTTTTTTAAACTTTCTCTTGTTAGGCATGATTGGTGAACCAATGCCCTACAAGGTAACTATGTATGTCTTGGATCTACAACATTAAGTTTAAAATATACTATTTTTTCAATTTATTTATTATTTAGAAATACTAAAAAATAAACACCTCTTTCCTCCCAAAACTTTAATTAAAGGAAAAAGTTTCCACAAAGATCTCTTGCATTGCTTCGGCATTTACACACTCTTTCATCTTCATTTTTTAAAATGAGGTGTTATCTGATTCTTCTGGTGAGAACTAATGAGAACATTTCAGCTTTTCGTCATGCTTAACAATTTACAGAAGTATTTGGTATTCAATTTCTTTTTGTACCCAGTTGTTCAGTTTGCCAATTCTGAAGCACTTAGACCGTATTTGGTCAAAAGGCTGTTTAAAAATCCTTAGCTTTGCTCTTCTATAATGTGTTATGAGGAAACCAAATGAAAAAACAAGGCTGAAGCCTCATTAGCACAGATGTTCATTATTTTTCTCTGCATTAAGAAGATCATAAAAACACCATCCAAACCATAAACCAGTGCGCATCAACTGAAATGGGTATTTTTAGGGTGACATCAGCATCAGGGAGAAGTGAGACAAGCCCTTTGTGTCTCCCTTTGAATCTGCAACTAGTCGGACATCCAGAGCCCAACAAAGCTTCCTCTGCTCAACACACGGAAAGGTTCAGAGGTCAGTAGCTCGGAAGGGGGGCGTTCCGGAATGTGCAGGGAGGCAGGTTGTGGGGAAGGGTGGGGATGGCCCACCGCTGCAGTTCTCCCAGGACAAGGCTGAACCTATAGCCCCAGCCACACAGTAGCGGTGGAGGAGTCGGGGTGCAGCCCCAGCAGCACTGCCTCCCCCCAAAATCCAAGCCCTTCCCCTGGTGCAGCAGAGCTCCCACCGCCACAGATCAGGAGCTGCAGCCGCTGGGCCACAGCGCAGTGCTGCCTGCGACCACAGGGAACGAGGCAGCACCTCAGTGGGCTGACCGACTGGCTCTCCTTGACTGGCCACATCCTTCTGCCAGGGTGGTGGTGCCCTGAGACCCAGATGACCAGATACAACACTGCCACCCACCACTCGGGTCACCCGGCCGCCACTCCCACATCCAAGGCGAAGCATCCCACACCTGGCCTCTCCCCCTGCCCTCCGGCTTAAGTAGCAGCAATAGGAAAAAACAAAAACTGCGCCATTGCACCTTCTGCTGGAAAACAAAAGAAAGAGCTCTAATTATCACCCTGATGAACTGTGAAAAGTAAATGTTCCTAAACAGGAAAAGCGTTCACTACTTAAAATGCACCAGCAGAGGAACAACCCATGAAGCAGCCTGGACCACCCTGGGAGCAGCACCACAGTAAGAAAAGGGTGATTCTCCAGAAAGAAACCTGAAGTATCAAAAACTTGTGATGTAAATTACAGAGAAAGCAAAGTAGCAATCATGAAGAAATTCAACAAGTGCAAGAAAACCCAAAAGGCAGGTCAGTGAGCTCAGCAATAGAATTAATGAACAGAAGGAGTATTTTGCTAAAGAGATGACAAGTATAAAAACAGCCAAACAAATTCCGGAGCTGAAGAACTCAATAATAAGGTAAAGAATGGATATTTTAATAACAATGATATGAAATGAAAGCCAAGTGCTATTTCAGGACTCTATCCTTGCCATCTTCACCATCAATAATTCAAATGCTGGCAAGATACACAGACATAAGTGAACTTCACTTGAAAAATCAAATAGTAAAAAAAATTTTTTTAATATTAAAAATTCAAATATTTGCTTAGTTCAACTATTTAGAAAATGTATAATTCCTCAACAAGACACTATAAAGATTGAAATTAAAATGCTGTTAGTAAAATAGCAATAATGTTCTCTCATGTAACAAGATGACAAAAATTTTCACTTAAAAACAGAAACTAATCCTTTTAGTGTTACAAGATTATTTAATTCATAAAAAGGATTTACTCAGTTTCATTTAAATAACAAATTTAATCACTCTTAATCAGTTTGGGTGTCAATCACTCACTTATGTTTAGGGTTGGAAACATCGGGGTGTAGCAAGACTTTAAAATTGTTATGAACCATCGCCAAACTAACTAAATCTGTTAGAAAGTAAGTCAAATCATCTCCAGTATAACATAAGTTATTAAGCAATAATATTTAATTTCTAAAATTGAAATTATATGTAGCTTGTCAAAAAATTTAAAATATGTCAGTTTAGTTACATTTGTTGAGTAAAGTTAATGATAGGCATCTCTTTAAAATGAGAGATCTGAGGACTTAAGATTGTAAAATTTGTGTCTCCTTTCTATATTAGCACAAATATTAAGGCTTTTACTTAGTGTGCATTAGTCAATTAAACAACTTGGAATTTTACCAAATTAAACACTAAATTGAATCAGAAATCTGGAGCCCAAAGGAAAAAAGAGACTATAACTAACCTTGATCAAGTAAGCTTCCATGCTATTACTTGAAGTCCGTGGCCTTGAGGTAGGAATCACCAGGTTTTCTTCTCTTTGAGTGGAATTTCCATAGAGTACAAAACTACTATTAAGATTTCCAACACAAGGCATCTCCAGGACTGGCCTCGTATTAAGAGTGCTGAGTAAAGATCTGTTCTGCTGTTTATGCAGGAGAAGTTCAGTGCTGACCTCAGCTAGCCTCTCATTGGTCCTGTGAAGATTGTAAAAACAAATGCTTAGTATTTCAATTTTCCTAAATGACTTGCATTTTTTAAAGTTGCCTCAAAAGTCAGTGAAATTTCCCATTAAACAGCATGTTAACACTGATAGTGTGTCAGAGCAGACCTTCTATAAAGAATAGGTTCTAAATTGTTCTAAGGAAGTACGTATGATTCTAGGGGTGGGGAGGTTCCTAACTAACAAGTAATTCAAAGCAGGGAGGGGAGAGGAATGGCTATCAGTGATGTACACGGCTTATCAGGTACATCACTGGAAGCGCTGCACTTACAAGATTCTTGAGGATGCCTTTGGACATATTTAGTAAACCAATTTAGAGATTTTTAAAAAAATCCCTCAACGACATTGTTGAGTGTTTCCTTTCACCACCCTTATACAACACTCATTACCTTGGAGATTTTAACCACTTGGTAGAGATTTATAACAACCTCTGAGGGAGAACAAGATAGCCTTGCTGGTGATCAAAATGAACCAGAACAGCTCCAGAGGCAATTATAACACTGTTACCAAGGCACTGGAGGTGGGATCTGCCCTTTCTGTCTTCCACACTCCCCTTCTGACAGACCACCTTATTATTTTTAGCCACTTTGTCAATTATACTGTCCTTCACCCTTTGTTAACCTTTCCCTTTGTAACTTGTATGTCTTTATGCAGAGAAGATAGTTTGTCTCAAGGTGCCCTCTGGTGATGATAACAAAAATCACAATCAGGAAAATAAATTTACCAAGTGCCAGAATGTGCCCAATATTAACCCTTTGGGTTTAAGTTGTTATCTTCCAAAAAATAGTTAAAGTTGTTAATAAGTTGTTAATATTTCTATTTAGGGGAATTGCAACAAGCAATTTGATAATAAAACCACTGTCTAAATTATAAAGCTTCAAACAAATTTAGCTTAAAGGCTAGTAGATCAGGTTAAATCTATGAAAACGGGGGAAAAAAAAATAAAGTCATGTAAAACCAAAAATTGGGGAGAGATGTTAACTGTTCTGGAAAAATATTTGAAAGATAAGTTCATTAATTAACTTCATTTTCCAAAACTACACTGCTTAGTTAGCTTCTACTTCCTACTAATCTAATGAACCTGGATTGATAAAAATTATGCTTTTGAAACTAATTAATGAGGTAAATTTGTTTTCTGTGATTCTGTGTTTTGACTTACTTGTTTAGTATATTTCCTAATGACTTTCTACCTTCCATTTCTTCTAGAAAGAGTTGCTTATATTTTTCCAAATCTATTTCTTTAGAATTTTGAGAACATTTTATTTTGGAGAGTTCAGATTCTAGATCTTTAATTCTCAGTTCCAACTGACTTCTTATTGAAGCATTATGATTCTCTCTTAACTGCTCCAGATTTTCTTGAGATGCTGCTTGCGTCTAAAGCAAATAAGCAGAATACATTTTTAAAAATAAGTATAATCTGAACAATTACATTTGTTTTCTTTAGTTTTGAGTCAACGATTCAGAGAGCAACTTTAAACATAAAAAAGCTTAAGTTTAAAATATCAGTGTCAGCTGAATTATAAATTATAAAAATAAACTTACATCTTTCTTTTATTAGTACTCATGCATCCTGGTAATTCAAAGAGCAAATCAATTTAAAATTTAAAAAACTGAGTAATATAACTTAATAATGGTAGAATTTTAAAATCACAATTTATTTATTTTTATTCCTAATATTCTTGTTTTATATCAATTAGTCTTTAAAATAAAATGATCCTCTAGTAAAAATTATTCTGAAAGATCAATTTAGTGATAATAATGATGGAAACTGGAAATACTGAAACATTCCACTTTCCTTCCTGAAATTTACAAAGCAAATTGCTAGTAAGTAGAGGAAAGAAATACTATATATATATATATATATGGAATCTGCAGGGAAATGAATTAAAGATCAGTAAATTAACCTGTAAAAATAGATTGACTTCTTCCAATTTTTCTTCTATATCCTGTCTTGCTCTTTCTTCAATCTTCCGTTTGTACTGTTCTACTTCACTGTATTCTACCATATTCATTTCCATATGTCTTTTGAGGTTTATTCCTTCTTGTTTCCACTTCTTTTTCTCATTCTTTAGTTTTTCACATTTTTTTTGTATTGCTTTCATAGATAATAACTCCTGTTGAAGAAATTTATTTTTCTCATCCAGATGTAGACATTTTGAAGATGCAGTTTCCAGTTTTGCTGTAAGTTCATCATTCTGCATGAATAAAATAATATAGTTTGGTTATGAAGGTGCAGACTGAGAACAGTTTAATTCAAATATCAGATTTTGAAATAAATTAAGTTGCAATAAAATGTTGGTACTGTAGTAGAGACTTATTATGTGAACTTTTTAATTACTCAGAATCAAGAACAAAGTTAAAAAGACCAGCAGTCATAAAAAATATATTTAGTTTCGTAGTCTTTGCCACATAATGCCTGCACTTGATTTTGTTTTTTTCTTATGTCTTATGTGATTTTCTTATGTGATTTTATGTCTTTCCTCCACAAAATGACAATAAGTCATCTCTTAGTAGAAAGTCTCTTACCTCTTCCCCAATATTAATTCTCCATAACTTTTAAAGGGGTTTGAGGGATGCCATATTCAGTTATTTAGGCCTAGGTCAATAAATGCCTCCCAAGGTAAGACTTTAAAAATAATAGTTTAATTAATGAATCTTATATAGATTCTAATGCCGTGTGCCTTTAATGGAGTGCAAATGTCTGATGCTAATTTGAATTACACTCCAAGAAGAAATGATTCCCAGGGTTAAAGAGAAATCATATCTTCCACTGTAAAAGTTTAATTGAGATAAGCTATAATTTTTTTAAAACAAAAACAAAGGCTTAATTCAGTAATGCTGTCTTGTAATTCTTTGTTACTTCCCACAAAATTAACAAAACATACTAAATAACAAGAACTTGCTGAAAATTCCATCATACTGACTTGAGGAATACTGAGTTGGCCAGAAAGGCCATTTATTTTTCCCCATAAAATAAAAGATGTGTGAGAATTTTTCATTTTCACCAATAACTTTATTGATTTAGAAATTTTGAGTATTTTGGCTATATCCCATATGGTATAACATCGATTGTTCTCAATCTCAATCAATGTCTTGATATGACTGCTATCAACTTCAACTGGTCTACCTGACCGTGGAGCATCGTCCAGTGAGAAATTTCCAGCAAGAAAGTCTGCAAACCACTTCTGACACATTGGATCAGTCACAGCACCTTCGCCATGCACTGCACAAATTTTTTTTTTTTTTTTTTTGCATTTCAGTTGCTTTTTCACCCTTCTTGAAATAAGAGCATAATATACTGAAAATGTTGCATTTTCTTCCAACTTAAATATTAAAATGGTTACACAGCAATTCACCAATTTTGATACATTTTTTAAAAAATGAAAGCTGATGGCAGCTGTCACAATACAATCTAACAAAATTGTTCCATATGAAGTTAAAGGCAACTAGGCACTACTAGCCATTGTACAGAAAAAAACAAATGAACTTTTTGGCCAACCCTATACCACTTTCCTTTATTTGATAAGACAAGAAAAGTGATGTGGAGTTTTTAAAACATGTCTACAAATTCTTTGGCACACTTCCCATAAAATGGGTGCTGGCCTTGGTAAGTAACCGGTTCCTGGTGAAGAGAAAAAGGTGGAAATGCTGTGTGACTTCCATGTCTGGGTGATATAGCTTCTATCTGACTTCCTCTCTCCCTGGGAGGGAAGCTCACCCTGAGAACCCAGCCATGCTGTCAGGAGTGAAGCAGCCCAGGCCAGAGTCAGTCCTCGTACAAGTGTTCCAGCTGGGACTGCCCCAGCTAACGCCCTGGCCAAAAGCCCGCTGCAATTGACAAACATGTGAATGAACAAGCCTTTAGAAGATTCTAGTTCCCAGCTTCAAGCCATCCCAGCTGATGGCAAGTGGTAAAGGAATGAGCTGGCCTCATGGACCCTGGCCTAACTGCAGATTTGTGAACAAAATAAATGCTGTTTTGAGTCACTAGGTTTGGAGGTGGTTTATTAAGCAGCAATAAATAACTGGCATGGATACTGATATTAAAGAGAGAGTGCTGCCACTAAAACAAAACAACAACAGAAAAACACGCACATGCAGGAGTGCCTTTGAAACAGGAGGTGGGGGGAACCTGAAATAAGGCGGAGAAGCATCAAAATGAAAACCAAAAGGGCCTCCAAGAGATGGGCCTGATGGCCCCTGAAGAGGCCGACAGCAAGGGCTTCCGGCAAGTGAACCAAAGGACCCTGAAACCTGGAGGAAAGGGGACTCTTGCTACGAAGGAGCTGAAAGTAAAATTGATGAAAAAAGATAAGCTAAAAAAGGACAATTAAATATAAAGAACCAGAACTTACTGGTTTCAAATATCCATTTCTCGTTTATAGCTTCTCCCATATGTCCAACTGTCAAGTAAAGCTAAAATAAACAAATGGCTTCTGAGCTAAGATGAAATCCAGGGTGCTTCCAGGAAAACATGGTCTATGGATGAAACCAAGACTGGAAAACCCGTTACACCTCAGAAAGATTTAAGGTTGTGCCTCAAATTCCTTTAAGGATCTTCAGGATATAGAATTTGAAAGACACTGTCTTACAGCAGGTCCAGGAAGCTTGAGGTGAAGATCTTATCCCAAAACAGTTTTTAAGAGTGGTTTTTTCAATGGCCTGAACTCCAGTAAAATTCACAGGAAACTCAAAGCTTCTAAGAGAATTGTAGAGGCAAAAGCCCTGTTTGCCAGCTTGGACTAAAGGAAGACAACAAGGTGAGTGATACTAAGTTTTTAAAATATGACAGGAGCTAGACAGGACACAATAGAAGTATCACAGGAGATAGATAAGACACAATAAAAATATGACTGGAGTTAGGCAGGACACTATAAAAAGAGGTCTGTGGATCTTAGATGTTGTATAGGGAGGAAGCAGGCTGAGAAAAGAGCTGTAGGCACAGGCCGTTTCCTATGAAAAGGACAGAAGAAAGAGTTCAGAGGGAACAGCCAAGGGCCATGGAGACGCATTCCATGTTTAGGACTAGGTTTTCCTTTCCTTCCTCAGTGAGGAAATAGAGAACGTTATGAAATCATTTTAAATCTCACTAGTAAAACATAGTGTCCTCTGGCACTATTAGATACAATTTCTCATCTACCTTAATTCAAACTTTTTTGTACGAAAAGACCATCTCATCTTTATGTTACACCATGATGTTTCTCCCTAGCACACAAATTAGCTTTAAAGTTTTGAAATTTCAAAAGGAGACAGTCCAGATTTATGTGTGTGTGTGCGCGCACGCACGCGTGCACGTGTCTGACTTACTCCCCTTGAGCAGCACCACTGAGTAGAGCAAAGCCTGCAAAAAAAATCCATGATGGTGATGTTTTCACCTAGAAGCTTTTAAAAAAACTGAGCATTGGGGTGACATCAGTTCATAAACTATAGAGGTTTCAAGCACACAATTCAATAAAATATTATTTACACACTGCACTGTGTGCCCATTGTCCCAAGCAAAGTCTTGTTTTGGCCCCATTTTCCCTTCCTTTATCCACCTCCACCTTTTAGCCACCCCTTTCCCTCTGGCTGTCACCACAGTGTCTATGTGTTTTTTATATATATATATATATATATAAATATTTATATATTTAACATTTTAAAAATATTTATATATATTTATAGATAGATTTTCTTAATCCCTTCACCTTCTTTCATCCAGCCCCCCAGCCCCACTCCCTCCTGACCGCTGTCAGCCTGTTCTCCGTATCTATGCTTCTGTTTCTATTGTCATTTTACTTTGTTCATTAGATTCCACATGTGAGATCACATGGCATTTGTCTTTCACCAACTGGATGTTTTCACTTAGCATAATAATCTCCAGGTCTATTCATGTTGTTGCAAAAGTTAAGATTTCATTCTCTTTAATGGTCAAGTAGTATTCCATCATGTATTATGTACTACACAGATTTTTTATCCACACACCTACTGATGGACACTTGGGCTGTTTCTAGCTCTTGGCTATTGTAAATATTTCTGCTAAGAACATAAGAGTACATATATTCTTTCAAATTAGTGTTTTGGGGTTCTTTATATATTCCCGGAAGTAGGATATCTGGGTCAAAAGGCATTTCCATTTTTAGTTTCTTGAGGACATTCCATACCGTTTTCCACAGTGGCTGCACCAACCTGCATTCCCACCAACAGCCACAAGGGTTCCTTTTTCTCCACATCTTCAACAGCACTTGTTTGCTGATGTATTGATGATAGCCATTCTGACTGGTGTGAGGTGGTAACTCATTGTTTCAATCTGTACCTTTCTGATGGTTAGTGATGCTGAGCATCTTTTCATATGCCTGTTGGCCATCTGTATGTCCTCTTTGGAGAAGTATCTATTCAGGTTCTCTGCCCATTTTTAATTTGGTTGTTTGTATTTTTGGTGTTGAGTTGTATAAATTCGTTATCTATTTTGGACAGTAACTCCTTATCAAATGGACCATTGGTAGATATGTTCTTCCATTCAGTGGGTTTTCTTTTTTTTTTTTTTTGAAGGTTTCTTCTGTGGTGCAAAAGCTTTTTATTTTGATGTAGTCCCATGTTTATTTTTTTCCTTTGTTTCCCTTGTCCAGAAGTTATATCAGCAAAAATATTCCTAAGAGAAATGTCTGAAATTTTACTGCCTATGTTTTTTTCTAGGATTTTTATGGTTTTGTGACTAATATTTAAGTCTTTAATGTATTTTGAGTTTATTCTTTGTGTATGGAGTACATTAGTGGACTAGTTTCATTTTTTTTGCATGTATCTATCCAACTTTTCCCAACACCATTTATTGAAGAGAGGCAGTGAAATCTATCAATGAGTCTATGAATTATGAGTTAAACACAATGAAGTAAATGCCTAAATCAGCAGAACCAGTTACCAGGATTTAATGGAATGGGAATGAGAGGCACTGGGTTAGAGACTGAAGATGTGAATGGAGAAAAACAGGAATGAACATTATTTCTGTAAGATTACTTTCCTATCATGTCAGAGCCAGCAAAACATAAGTTGGCCACAGGCTCTATCAAGAGGCAAAAGGATCTCCACAAAAGTAGAGTTAAGGATATTCAACTACACTGATTTGTCATCATTACATAAAACAACTGGTAATATGCAAGATGACCAGGAAAGAGTTCTAATAAAATTTGATTTGGTACTGGAATATGGACAGACATATAGATCAATGAACTAAAAATGAGAATCCAAAAATGAACTCTCACATTTATGGCTAAGTGCTTTTCGAGAAGTGTGTCAAACAATTAAATCAGACATGAATAGTCTTTTTAAAAAAAGGTATTGGGACTGGATATCCACATACAGAAGAATAAAATTAGACTGCTACTTCATACCATATATAAAAACTAACTCAAAATATACAACCTAAAACTATAAAACTCTTAGAAGAAAACAGGTACATATCTTCACGACTGGATTTGGGTATTTTTCTAAGATGTGAAACCAGAAGACAAAAATATGTAGATGAACTGGACTTCATCATAATCAAAAACTTCCGTGCTTTAAAGGATACTCTCAGCCCTGGCTGGTGTGGCTCAGTGGATTGAGTACTGGCCTGTGAACCAAAGGGTTGCAGGTTTGATTCCCAGGTAGGGCACATGCCTGGGTTGTGGGCCAGGTCCCCAGTCGGGGGCCCATGAGAGGCAACCACACATTGATGTTTCTCTCCCTCTGTTTCTCTCTCCCTTCCTCTTTCTCTAAAAAATAAATAAATAAAATCTTAAAAAAAAGGGTACTATTAAGAAAGTGATAAGGTAATCTACTGAGTGGGAGAAATATTTAAAAATCCTGTATTTAATAAGGGATTTGTATCTAGGATATATAAAGAACTCTTACAATTCAATAATAAAAAGCAATCCAGAGGGGCAAAAGAATTGACAGATAGCTCTTCAGATAAGATATACAAATGGATAATAAGCATGTGAAAATATGGTCAACATCATTAGTCACTAGAAAATTGCAAATCGAAACCACAATAAGATGCCACTTCCCATCCACTAGGATGACTATAATAAAAGACAGGTAATGACAAGTGTTGGCAAGAATGTGGACAAATTGGAAACTTTATACGCTGCAAATAAAAATGAAAATGGTGTAGCCACTTTGGAAAACAGTCTGGCTTTACCTCAAAATGTTAAAGATATGATCCAACTATTCCATTTATAAGTATATACCCAAGAGAATGGAAACATAGGTTCACATAAAAACTTGGGACATGAATGTTCACAGCAGCATTATTAACAATGTCAAAAAGCGAAAACAAACCAAAGGTCTATCAAATGATGAAGAGATAACAAAATGTGGCCACTCCACATAATGAAATGTTATTCAGCAATAAACAGAAATGAAGTCCTGCTGATACCTTAAAAACATTACGCTAAATTAAAAAGGCAGTCACAAAGGACCACATATTGTGTGATTCCACTGACATGAAACGTCCAGAATAGACAAGTATGTAGAGACAGAGAGTACAGTAGTGGCTCCCTCAGACTAGAAAGAGCGGGGACGTGGAATTGGCACAGAGTGGTTGCTAAAGGCACAGGGTTACTCTTTAGAGGATGAAAATGTTCTACAATTTATTATGACAGTGACTTGCATAACTCTTTGAATACACAAAAAGCCAATGAATTGTACACTTTCAATGACTGAGATGTAAGGTATATTTATTGTATCTCAATAAAGCTGCTAACCAAAAAATTTTTTTTTTATTTCATGCTAGTGCTTGGGCTCCTGTAATGGCATGCTTCTTGCTGGGGTTCAAGACATAGGAAGGAGAGCTGACAGTAATTCCTTTTCATAGTAAAATGATAAAAAAAGCTTTTTTACTGATACCAAGTTTATAATATTAGTAGAAAAATCTGTATTTCACTGTTCAAAGCATTGAATGATATATAATTCTCCAAACTAGGTGATGTTAGGGTTCCAAAACTGATTAGAAATTACCTTATGTTTTAACATATTAATCTGAATATCCATTTCAATTTGATTCACTTTTAAATCTCCAGGGAAATTAAGCTCTTCATTTTCATATTCATTTAACTTCCTTTTTGTAATTTTTAAGAGTTTCTTAAATCTGCAGAAATGTACAAAATGAGTAAGTCAAGTTCTTTAAGAGTACATATTTAATAATTATTTTAACATATGTCTAATCGAATAAAATAATCTATAAATTATAATCATTTGTTCCAATTTAATATTGTTTGAAAGCATACTATCTAAATTATAATCTTATGTGTAAATAAAATGAAAAAATTCTTTACATATATGACATTTAATATTGTACTATATAGAGTTCTTATAAGTTATTAATATTAATTTTAGTATGTTAATATAAAATGTTAGCCTATTATTAAATATTAACTAGGAACCAGAGATCAGAATCCAAAATGGAGAAGAAAAGCATAATTATATACAAATATTTTGAAAGACACAAAAATATCTTTTGTTACCTACTGACGACAGTCTATAAGAAGAAAACTACCAACAGAAAACATCAAGATCATTCAAAACAGAAAGAGAAGCAGGAAAGAAAAATCTCTGAAGTTTTAGTTGAAGGGAAATTTGGAAAGGGACAGGGTTATAAAAGAAAGGAATCAGAGAGATAACATATAACAGTCTTCTCAAGACTATTTTACGAGATATTTGCTAGCGCAATGTTAAGAAAATGAAAGGGATACTAAACAATGTAGAGGAGGATAGTTAAATGAGAGGAAAAACACTGATGAGAAACTGAAATACTCAGTGAATACCAGCGAATAAACGGAAAGGAAGACTGGGGGTTTCCCAGACATTGGGAAAGATGCCGTTACTTTTTTTATATGAGTGGTAAAAACAGGATTACTCAATTTCTTTAAGTCATAAGAACATTTTCGTATGTGTGATATATTTTATACCTAAAAAGAAAGAAAAAAGCCAAATCAAGATAACTTTTGATGATGTTAAACAATGACACAGATAGGTTTCTAGATATTAAACTATTTGAATGCTGAAGAAAAAACATGCCGCTAAAAGAAGGAAAGATTACAAAACAGAGCGAAGATATCTGGCAGAAATAAAAATTCAAGGTAGACACAAAAAGGACAATTTACAGGATATGCAAAAGGTGTTCTCATTATTGTTTTAGGAATCATAAAGAATAAGCAGAATTTTTTGGCATTCAAGAAAGTCTCAGATTGTGCTGTGAGATTCTGAAGTAAACTTTTAAATAGGATAATTTGTTCAATTATGAAAATTACAGATAGAGAACAAATTTGTATTTTATTTTTAATAAAGTAAAATGACAGTTAAATCTTAATTAGTGGTAGAAATGATCTGAAATATTAAAATCTTACCCAGTAATCTCTTTTTCTAATTCACCATTTTTCTTCATTGCTTGATCCAAGCTACACTCCAGAGATTGTTTTAACTCAATATATTTCTTTAATTGTTCCCTTTCATCCTGAGACTTTGAAAAACATTTTTAAAGAAAATTATTTTTAAAGATCTAGAGACTCACTCTTCTTTCTTAAGAATATTATTTCTCATGAGTTCATGAATAATATGTGTAGACAGGTTTATAAAATGTAGTTTATAAACTGGATACCAATAAGAACAGATTTCAAAAATAATGACTCCTTATTGCAGCTTAAATTGACTTTACATTTTCATCACTTTTCCTCTGGAACTTAAGCTGCCAAAATTTGTTAAAATGGTGGTTTTTACATACAAAATATGAAGTGTTAAAATTTTGTTAAGAGAGTGGCTACAGACATTTTAGCTTCTAAAGATGCCCTAGAGATATTTTCATCAATATTTCAAGATATGCCAGGTTCTATTAAATCACATCTTCCTAAAATAATCTTTGAAAAATTCCCATGCAGTCCCCATTACTTATGATGATAATCTGACTTTAGAATGAGATACTCTCATTCTCTGTAAGCACTGTTCCATAGGTTTCAGTTTCTCTTTATTTAAAGAGAAAAGTGTTTAATTTTCTCTTTAAATAAAGTCTGTCTATATTTTATAAAAACATAACTTTTTACTTAATTCTTGTAGTTTTTTAGTTTTTTTTTTTCCTATCGTCCTGTTCTATCTCTTACAATAAACTCAAATATTCTTTAATGCAAGGTCTCATCCACATACTCATATTTTCAACACTTACTCTCTTCTTTTACATAAGGACCTTTCAATCATATAATTGCACTAAAAAATTTATGAGGGTCATCTTTTTCTTTACTCCTTATCCTGCTTTATTTCTTAGCAGCAACAGTGACCACACACACCCTCCTCTGCTCCTCTATCCCCGATTCACTGCAAAAGAGTTAACTCTGACATTCAAGTCCTGGACTCTTTCTATTCCACTTTTTTAAAATCTCAGGGTTCCTTAATCTCAACACTTCAAACCAGACTCTCCAATCAACATTTCCAGCCTTGACCCCTTTCCTGAGGTCATCTGTACTTTTCTTTCTCCCTTCTAGTTCCTCATAGAGAGTATCTTCAACCACACACTCATAAGCCATGAGGTGGTAGGGATTACCTTTGTAGAGAGCTAATTTTGTACATTTTATGTTGTTTCTCATGGGTGTTATTTTTGAGTATAGTGTTATTTTCCTTGGGGGCACATTAACCCTTAGAATGTTGACCAGGATGCTCTGTTGTTTTTCTCTTATAATGCAAAACATTTTGCAAATATCAAATTATTATTTGCCTTTATTTAAAAAAAAAAATTGCCTGTTCTATAGAGACTTGACCCATGGAACCCTTCTGAAGTTCTTTTCTTATGCATACTCGACTATATTGTTCGAAAGCTTGAGAAAGCTAGAGCTATCTTCTTGCCAATTCAGATTCTTCACCTCAACACTGTGTTGATCAAATATTTTAGCCCAGGTAGACTTGGGCATAGGGCTTCATGACATGACTGTAACAGGACACAGCCAGGGGCCCCCCAAAGGGGATTTGTAACGGGGTCCAGAAATTGGGGTGTCCAAGAAAAATATGGAATATTCTCACCTTCCCCCTTGCCCCGAGGCGGGCTACCAGGATGGGAGACAGGGAGAAGGGCCATTGAGAGTCATTTTACATGTCAGTAACAGGCCAGGGCCACTGAGAGTTACTTTGCATGTCAATAAGGATAGCTTCATATGCAAAGATAGCTATTTTGTGTATCAACAAGGCTAACCAGGAAGGTTTGTATAACTTTAACCCAGGAGGGAAGTGGGAAGCAGCTCCCCCTGTAACAGCGCCTGCAGGGAGTCCGGGGATGGGGTTGTGGGGGAGGATTCCCTGAGTTGGAACCCAGGTGCAGCACCAATGTTAGAAGCTTTTTGACCACATGGCTTAGGAAGCAGGATATAACTGGGAAGGGGAGATAGGGCCTGTGAGAGAGAATGGGACACAGACTCTGGGGAACAATGAGAAGACCATGTGGAAAGGAAAAGGGAGAAAGGACTCTTGCTAGTGGGCCATGAGAAGGTGCTACATGCTTTTGGATTAAGAACTGGAGACCATGGTGACACAGCTGATGGTGCTGGGAACAGCGAGAGGCCTGCCTAGCTGAGCCCTGGACTTCTGTTCTTTTTCTTCTAAAGGACGGTATCCCTGACTAGCCTGACTGGACCAAACTGGGCCAAATGGGGAAGGCAGGACTGTGTGTATTGGTGGATGTTTTAAGGGGATTTTGAGATTTTAACAGTGACTATTAGCCATTATTCAAAACTTATATAACTTTTGAATAAATAATTCCTTTCCTTTCACCAAACTCTGCCATTGAGAGTCATAATTTTTAAGGGTGGTAAGCAAAGGACCTACAACTGAGGGACCCTGGGGAAATAGGGGGCACTGTTCTGGTAATAGCATTTGGGCCCCCCCCCCGCAACAGGTCCATTATTCGGTAACAGGAGAACCATCTAGAGAAGTTAAGGCTATTGATTAAATTGGTTGAAAGCTGCTGCTTCTTATTAAATTTTTGATTCACAAAGTAGACCTAATGGTGGCTAATAATTCTGTGTCATAAACCTAACTCATTTCTATAGGAATCTACAAAAAAAAAAAATCCCCCATTATTTTTGCATAAGGTTCATCAATTTTGGTAATTCTTACAAATTTTTCAATTTTTGATAGCTTAATAGGTTTCTGTACGAAACTGTAAGTTGACAACTCCTGGAACTCTCATTCACAGAAGACTCCTTATCAATATATTATCATTCATTCCTCTTGTATGAAAAATATGCTAATACAATATGACTTATTCATATAAAGTCTAAAACAATAATTTTCAATGTTTCTTCAGCCACACAAAGAACCAGTCAACACCATGTTCTAGTTCTCCTGATAGGTATATCTGCATAATGAAACTGCATGGATTGAGCTATTGTGACCGAAAGAAACTAGCTCGTAGGTGCATTGACCTCATTGCTCCAACTTAGGGTTCACAATGCAATCTTCTGATCTTAAATTATAGGTAGCCTACCATACAGAGGAGAGTGTGAGTGGCAGGAGAATCCTGTTCTGCTTAGTAAATACTGTGTAGCCTTCACCATTCATCAGTTAATTGGAGTCCTGGATTATATATCCATCTTTTCTGAGACTGGATTGTTAATCTTTGAAAGGCTGATTAACACAAGTGAATGGTCTCTAAACTTGCAATGCTAGGAGCACTATGTTGTTATGTGAGGCCCTGATTGAGCAGCCATTTCTACTTTTTTACTGGCATTTTTTTTTTTTTGTTTTAAAATCCAGCAAAGGGAAAAAGTGCACTCCCTCTTCCACAAAACACTTGTATGATTACAAAAGAAATTCAGAATTCTAGATTAAATCATTACACAAATTTCTGGACTCAAACAAATACCTGAATTCCAATGTCTATAGCAGCATTATCAACAAGCGCCAAAAACTAGAAATACTTAAATGTTAAACAAATGAATGGATAAACAAAGTGTGGTATATGTCAAATATTGCTTCTAGACTATCACAATCTTTTTTATTAAAATCTTACTATAAAAATCATTAATTTTATGAATTCAACTTCCTTTATAACAAGAACTACATTACTAGTAACAAGTATTATCATGAATACAATAAATACTTTTATCAATGAGACTGTTCATGTTGCCTAAAATATCTTATACATTGCTACTAGAGAAATAAAAATTCCTTTTCAGCATCATGGAAATTAAGAGATTGACTTACCGAATTTGTACATACCAGGTTTGTCTGAAGCTGTTCAATTTTGAGTGATTGCTCTTTGATTGTAACTTTTAGCTTAGCATTTTCAATTTCAAGCCTAAAATGTATATTTTAAAATAATTATTTTCACACTTCAATTTAAAAGATACCAGATAATTTCTGAATAAACATCTGAAGGTGCAATTACATAAAATCTTAACATTTGGAAAGTAGATGAATTAGCAATTAATTGTGCTATTTTTCTAGTTGTGTTTTGTGGATAATGTATATATTACCTCTAAATTTTGCACAAGTTATGCATTTCAAAATATTTAAAAGCTGAAATATTTATCCAGTTTAACAATGATACACTTCTTATCATAACTGATCTAATTCTCATACTACATTCCTCATCTGCTTTATAAATACTCATGTTATTTTCTGTGTTGCTTTATACTTTTGCATGTGATCTTGCATCTCCTCAGCACATCTTTCAGTCGCTGTGTATCGATCCTGTGCTTCTTGTAACTAAAATAAAGAAAAAAAAAACTTTTAACTACTGATAATCTAGTATAAATCTACCTGTTTTTGTAACTTAAATTTTATTGGACAGCAACCCCACTCTTTCATCTGCATTTTGTTTATGGCTACTTCGTGCCAAAACAGTAGAGCCAAGTTGTGACAAGAGAGACCTCATGGTGCACAGAGCCTAAAATATCTACTACTTGGTCCTTTACAGAAAAGATCACCAACCACTTCTCTAGTACTCAAACAAAAACCTCACTCATGTTTTTAAATTATATTTTATCAGCAAATATACAAATTTATAAACTGGTCAAATGGGAAAAACAGAAAATTAATTTATAATTAACATTCATTTTTTTTATATTCCAAGCAGCATATCAACTGTAAGTTTAAATATTCACAACTGTGAATGAACATGGTTATTCCAGCGATTATGAAAGTTAACATTCTGTTTTCAGTGACAATGAGATGTTTCACTGAATAGCCCAAGAGGCAGTATCTACATAGGAGCCAGAATGTCTGGGTTTGATTCCCACATCCCCCAGTTATTAGCTGTGTCAGCTTGAGCAAATTACTTAAACTTTCTGTCTCTCAGTTTCTTCATCTGTAAAATGGAGATAATAATGATACCTACTTCACTGGAATGTTGGGAAGATTAAATTATGGAATATATGTGAAGTACTTAGAAGAGTACGTGGCCCACAATAAACTTTAAGGGTTTGTATTATTATTGTCGCTGTATTTTAAGTTCTAATAAAATTTAATACTTTAGGCAAATGGCAATGGAGGTGATCTCTTGTACGAGTTACACTGAAATAATTCTTCGTACCATTGACAATGGTAGTAAGAAGCCCAGGCTATATCCCCAGTACTTCAGAAAGCTTTCACCAAGACCGCTAGCCAACAGTACTTTTCTGCTTAGAACAATTTATAACTTACTTCCTCTCAGTACTACTCAGTGGACAATAATCATGAGCAATGCAAATAGCACCTCCAGGACTGAGTACATCACTTACATGACCTGACAGGCAGGGTTAAGCCACTGACATGGAGTTCTGTGCGAATGCGCTCTGTGCAAAATCAAAGTTCCCAGGTCCATTCGTCCCCAGCCACTGTCTATGTTGCACTGCTTTAGCAAGTACTCTGATGAGCAGATTAAGGTGACGTGCAATGGCATGTCAGAAAAGTCCTCCCCAGAGATTTACAGTGGGTAAAGTGCTATTAATCTCTAAACCACAGTTCTGGCTGCACTGTGAAAGGCTGATTTCTATTTTTTCCCCTCACATTGAGGGTAAAAAAAAAGAGCTGCTGATTAAACAATTCTCTATTATATTTATATTTAATTGCTTAAAATACATCAAGAATAAAAGATTAATTATATCAATGTCTCCAAGAAGAAAGTATTGGTGTGGTATAAAGTAATTTTATCCTAATAATAGTTAAAGCTAAAATATTTTCAATTTATTTGTATACAAAGGTATGTACCATCATATCAAATAAATGTACCCCATAGACAAATTTATACTTACAAAGACAAGATTATGTCTCATGGATAAAAAAATTAAAGCAATGTAAAATTAATGGCTAAATTACTTTGCACAGACAAGATGACAAGTGCTGAAAAGAATGAGGGCAATGAGAGTTAGAACAGTCAGAGAAAGCTTCATGGAGAAGGGAGATCGGGAGCCATGTCCATTGAGGTGTCGGATTCGGCAAGAGGAACAGAAACGGAAAAGGCAGAATGGACAGCATGAGTAAAGGCCGAGAGAAGCTGCAATCAGTCCAATTAAATCCAATGGCAGGGAGATAAAAACATATGTTCACACAATGACTTGTACACTAATGTTCATAGTAGAATTATTAACAGCCAGGGAGTGAAAACAACACAAAGTTCTATCACCTGATGAATGGATAATTGGATTAGCCACACAGTGAAGTACTGTTCCACAATAAAAAGAAATAAATAGTGATATGCTATAATATGGTAGAACCTTAAAAATGTGACATTAAGTAAAAGAAGCCAGTCACAAATACTGTATATTATGTGATTATATGTATATGAAATATCCAGAATAGGCAAATCGATAGAGACAGAAAGTGTACTGGTTGTTGCCTGGTGGCGGGGAAGATGAGAAGCTAGGAGTGACTGCTAAGAGATGTGGAGCTTGTTTTTGGAGCGATGAAAATGTTCCATAATTGACTGAGGTGACAGATGCATAACTCTCTAAATATGTCAAAATATACTGAATGTTTAATTAAAATGGGCAAATTATATGATGTGAATTGTATCAATACAATTAAAAAAAAACAATGGTGGATTTAAATTTAATTTTCTTAATTCTCTGTTGTGGATGTGCATACTATAATGATCTGATTATCTTTTTGCTTTTAGAATATTTCTAAGTGAGATGAAAATTAAAGAAAAGCTTCCTTCAACTTGTTTGTACAGTGATGTTTCCATACAAGTTATTATGAAATCTATGAAATAAACAGATTCTATATGTATTCACAAAAGTGAAGATAAAAAAATAAAAGAATTTTCTGGAATATTCCATTAAACATTATCCTCAGATTTTATCTGTCTGCCTCATCATGATAATGGAGATACCACTAAAAATATTGTTTAGTAGGAAAAAAGTCTCTTGATTCCTATGAAGAATAATGCATAATTCTTAACTTTCTTAAGGGTAAATATGATAAGAAAACATAAATGCAAATGGCAGAATAAAAGCCAGGGTTTAAGAAGTAAGTGCAGACTTCCAATCAAGATGGAGGCACAGGAAGACATGTTTTGCTTCCTTGCAAAACCATAAGAAGGATTACAACAAACTCAAAACAAAAAACACCAAGAACTGCCAGAAAATCAAACTGTATGGAAGTCTGACAACCAAGGATTTAAAGAAGCCATATTCATCCAGATGGGTAGGAGGGGCAGAGACAGGGAGATGCGGCAGAGAAGACGTGGTGTGGTGGTAGGAGGCAGCAGCAGAGGCATCTGGTGGAATGGGTAGTGTGGTGGATAAAAATCAGGAGGGATACGTTGGGAGTGAGTGATCCCAGCCCCAGCCCAGACAGTGCAGCCCAGGGTTCCAGTGCTGGGAAAATAAAACCTCATAACTTATGGTTGTAAAAAACAGTGTGGGTTGGGGTGGTGGAAGAAACTGCTGGTCTTTCAGGAAAGTCTGTTTAAAGGGCCCACATGATCCTAGAATATACACAAACCTACCCACTCTGTGAAGTAAAACCAGGGCAGCAGCTAGAGGGGCACTAGTTGCATACAGGAAAGGGATGAAGTGACTGGAAATGGGGCAAGTGCCGAACAAGCCTCCAGCAGCCCAGCAGTGGCACTGACCCCTCTTTTGCCCCTCCCCCATATACAGAGCCACAAAGCTGTGAAGCAGGTTGCCCGCCTTGGTGAATACCTAAGGCTCCGTCCCATACAACTTAACAGGTGTGCTAACACAGGGAATCAAAGCAGCTCTACTTAATACACACATACACAGACACAAACACAGGGAGGCTGCCAAATTAAGGAGACAAATAAATATGGCCCAAATGAAAGAACAGAAGAGTCTGTATTCCCACCAACAGTGTACTAGGGTTCCATTTTTCTCCACAGCCTCGCCAGCACTTGTGCAGCCACTGTGGAAAACAGTATGGAATTTCCTCAAAAAATTAAAATGGAACTGCCTTTTGAACCAGCAATTCCATTGCTGGGATTATACCCTAAGATTCTTGAATACCAATTCAAAAGAACCACTCACCCCAATGATCACAGCAGCACAATTTACAATAACCAAGTTCTGGAAGCAACCAAAGTGCCAATCAGAAAATAAGTGGATCAGAAGGTTACGGTACATTTACACAATGGAATACCATGCAGAAGAAACAAAGGAGCTCCTACCATTTGCGACAGTATGGATGGAACTGGAGAGCATTATGATAAGTGAAATAAGCCAGGTGGTGAAAAACAAATACCATATGCTCTCACCTATTAGTGGAACTTAATCTACAAAACAAGCAAACAAAATGTAACCAGAGACACTGAAATAAAGAACAAACTGACAGTAACCAGAGGTGAGGGGGGAGGAGGAAAGAAGGGGAAGGTCTGTCAAGGAACATGTAGAAAGGATCCATGCACAAAGCACAAGGCTTGAGGATTGAGAGTGGAAGGTGGGGGTGGGGCAGGGCAGGGGAGGGTGATGGAGGGAAAATGGAGACAACTGTGCTTGAATAACAATAAAATAAGAAAGAAAGAAAGAAAGAAAGAAAGAAAGAAAGAAAGAAAGAAAGGAAGAAAGGAAGAAAGAGGAAGGAAGGAAGGAAGGAAGGAAGGAAGGGAGAAGGAAATGAAGAATCCCGAAAAAGAACTAAGGGAGATGGAGCTAGTGAACCTATCAGATGCAGAGTTCAAAACACTGGTGGATAAGGATGCTCAGAGAACTCAATGAGTAAAGCAAAACCATAAGGGAAGAAATGAAGGCTAAGTTAAGTCAAATAAAGTAAAATCCACAGGGAACAAACAGTGAAGGGAAGGAAGCCAGGGTTCAAATCAATGATTTGGAAAATAAGGAAGAAGTAAGCAATCCACCAGAAGAGAATGAAGAAACAAGAATTAAAAAAAACAAGGAGAGAATAAGAAGACTCTGGGACACCTCCAGAAGTGCCAACATCCACATCACAGGGATGCAGAAAGAGGAAAAGCAAAAAATTGAAAACTTATTTGAAAAAAATAATGAAAGAAAACTTCCCTGATTTGGTAAAGGAAATAAGACATACAAGTCCAGGAAGCACAGAGAATCACAAACAAAATGGACACAAAGGAGGACCACACCAATAAACATCACAATTAAAATAACAAAAGTTAAAGATAAACAAAGAATCTTAAAAGCAGCAAGAGAAAAGCAGAGAGTTACATACAAATGAGTTCCCATAAGATAATCAGCTGATTTCTCAAAAGAAGCTTTGTAGGCTAAGAAGGGACAGGCAAGAAGTATTTAAAGTGATGAAAAGCAAACCTACAACCAAGATTACTCTATTCAACAAAGCTATCATTTTGAATCGAAGGGCAAATAAAGTACTTCCCAGATGAGGTAAAGATAAAGAAGTTCATCATCACAAGCCCTTATTATATGAAATGTTAAAGGGACTTATTTAAGAAAAAGAAGACGACCAAAACTATGAACATTAAAATGACAACAAACTCACAACTATCAACAACAGAATCTAAAAAGGCAAAAACAAAAACAAACGAAGCAAACAATAGGATGGGAACAGAATCATAAATCCGGAGATCACATGGAGGGTTATCAGTGGGGAGGGAGATAATAGAGGAAAAGATGCAGGGATTAAGAAGGATAATTGGTGGGTAGAAAATAGACAGGGGATGGTTAAGAACAGTATAGGAGATGGAGCAGCCGAAGAACTTCTATGTGTGACCCATGGACATGAACTGAGGTCGGGGGTGTGGGGGGGGCGGTGGTTGTTGGAAGGAAGGGGGTTACCAGGTGGAGGGGGGCAAATGGGGAAAAATTGGGACAACTGTAATAGTACAATGAATAAAATATACTTTAAAAAAAGAAATAAGTGCATTATAAAGATAGTAAAATTATAATAAATTATAATAAAAATAGAAAGAAAGCTGCCCATGAAGATTAGCATCTAAAATATTTTATATTATATAATCAGCTATAGATTAACTGATGACGAGTTAAATTTCACACATACTTGACTTCTGATTTGATCTAATTTCTTCTTTAAATGCTGTGTTTCTTCTTCTAAATCCATACGATAACGTGATGTAACCTCCAGTGAAGCCTCTGACATAGACTGTTTTTTTAGGGTATCAGCCAGTTCTTGTTGAAGTTGTCTCACAGCAGCCTAGTAAGATATTTCTGTTACTGACTTTATAAATCACACTATTATTTATGTTAAAATATATATATTTCACATACACTATGAGGCAAAAGAAGGTTTACAGTTGTGAGTACACAAAGAGATTATTCTTGTATTATTAATTATTGTATTATTTTCCATATAAACTGTAAACCTACTTTTGCCCCATTCTGTATGTACTTTGTTAGAGTTATATATTATTAACGTAATATATAACTGGAAAAATATCACCACATATATCAATTTGCCTTCTTTTCTTCATATGGACACATTCCTGTTTACTGGGTAATCTGGCCTTGACCTCTGTCACTGCTACAGATAAATCCTGCCACCCCTCACTAATCTGAATTGGAGAGCCAATGCCAAATAAAGAAATTACAGAGAACTACAATTCTCTCTGTATTAAACCAACTTACCTCCAAACGATAGTAAATGGGTCTTGAAATGAGAAATATGAGCAAATTATTTGTAGAAATATTTAAAGAAAATGTAAAAGGTAGTGGAAAGATTAAATCAAGTATAGTTTTGCTAAAACTCATCACATTTGTCTCAAATTATGATGTAATGAAAAGTAGATGTCTTTAAAGAGTCGATAGATCCTAAGGTTATATTACTCAAGGCTGAAATATTTCCAAGTTTAATTCAAATTGCCATGAATAAAAATAACATTAACCAACTAAAAGTATAAGAAGCCACTGAAAGAAAGGTACTATAAGAGACAGCGTTTACGCTTCAGTTCATCTGGGAAATCTGAAATTAACTGTCCAGATATTCCACTTAATTGAAACTTAATTTCAAAATACTCATTTTAGGCATGAGCATTTCCATTTATCTGCTTTATAACAGTATTAAAATGTGGTGAAAGATTAAAATTAATATTTTATCAGTATAAGACTAAATTATTAATATCAATCTATATCTATTAATAATCTATGATCTAAATCTCTTAAAATTACAAAGGCAACAAACACAGTGTCTTTACTCAAAACGAAACACCTTTCAGGTCTAATTTTCATTTGCAGGATACAATGTCTGCTTTTTTTTTTAACGGTTTTATTTATTTTTAGAGAGGGTACGGGAGGGAGGAAGAAAGGGAGAAAAGCATCAATGTGTAGTTGCCTCTCATATGCCCCCTACTGGGGACCTGGTTTGCAACTAAGGCATGTGTCCTAGGCTGGGAATTGAACGGTTCGTAGGCTGGCACTCAATCCACTGAGCCACACCAGCCAGGGCACAATGTCTGCTTTTAAGCTGATAGAGCAAACAGCTATTATCTATATATTTTTAATGTCCAACTATAGATTAAACATTTGGCCATCATCAAATACAATATTTGAATTTTCTTTTAAGAAATTTGAAAAATGTTTCTCGTTTTGGATACTTACATCTCTTTCTGCTTTATCATTTTCATACTGGTGCAATCTTTCTTTTAAATGATTACAGTCATTGATTAACTCCTTATTTCTTTCATTCAGCATAAGAGTTTGTTTTTCACTTTCAGCTTGAAATATTTTTATGATATCCTGAAACTGATCTTGAATACTAATTACTGTCTTTTCTTTATTGTCAGCTTTGTTGTGAGCATCATCCAGCTGCTGTCGAAGCAGCACATTTTCACTTTGTAGTTGTGACAGCCTCTCTTCTAAGGAGCCCTGCTTTCCAATGTATTTATTCACTTTGCCTTGTTCCTTTTGATACATGTGTTCTATTTCCTTCTTTTGACACTGTATTTGGCTTAGGTCTCTTTGTACACCTTCTAAAACCAATGTCCTTTCTCTGAGAGCATCTCTTGTGTGATGAAGCTCAATTTCTAGGCTATTGAATTTACTTTCAGCTTTAGAAAGTTGTTGAGAAAGAATCTCATTTCTATCTTCCAGGTCAGAGATATCACAATTCATTTTGTCCCGTAAACGAAACCATTCATCTCTTGCTCTCTGGAAATCAAGTTGCAGGTCTCTTTTTGATGTCTCACTTTGCTCAAGATCCTGTACAGCAGTAGCCAGTCTAGACCGGTATGATTCAACTTCTGTTTCTAGTCCTTCTTTGTTTTGTTTTTCAGTCTCCAGTTTAGACTTTAGTATTGTATTCTCAGCTGTCAGAACATTAAGCTGCCCATTATATTGGGATATTGTTTTTGTAAATGTTTCCTCATTCAGTTTTATTGTCTTTTGAAGAAGGTCATTATTTTCTTTGACAATTGTAATGTCCTCAAAATATTTTTTTTCCATTTCCTGGTTCTGACTTTTTATTGTGTCTATTTCCAGTCTTAGCTTGGCAGTTTCATCTTGTAACATATGGTTTTCAAGTAACAGATTATTTTCTTTTTCATAATTATCAGAAACCTAAGAAAAATAAAGGAGACATGTAGCTAACACTCATTGAAATAACATATCATGATGTCTTCTGAAATTAAAGAATAACTTATATGTTTATATAATGAAAAGGTTGCAGTCAGTGGGTATCTCACTGGGAAAAACAGAGTTGAATCCAAACTTCCAAATTTGTACAAGTATAAATTCCCCAAAGTTCAAAGATTGAACATAAAGTGATGAATCCATGAAAGTAAAAAAGGAATCATAAGAGAAATATTAAGAATCTCTGAATTAAAAAGATCTTTTTCTGAATTACAATAAACCCAGAAGACATAAAATAAAAGATTAATAAATCTGACCACCTTTAAAAATGGAATGTACAGTCTGAACACATGGCTACACCAGAGTAAGAGTATTAACTCTGCATATATTTGAATGTATTAGATTTTCCATAATTATTTTTTACCAAGAATATTCCATAGATATTCTACTTTTCTAATAATTTTATAGTTATAAACACTACACTTACTAAAACCTGATAATCTAGGCATTGTCATAAGCATTTCTATAGACAATGAACTCATTTAGTTATCACAATCTGGAATGGCGAGGTTAAACACAAGCAGCTTTATATTTCAAAAAAATAATGGTATATAAGGCAAAATTTGTAGAGTTATACTTAGAAAATCATGAGATTTGCTACTGCAATAACTTTTACTTCCTCTTCATAATGTTTAAAGTAGTAATGACTGTGAAATGGGAGAAAATATGCTGAATTACTTTACTAGAGATATTTATCAATAAATTATCACTAAGTATATGGGGGGACCCCAAAAATGGTTTATTTATAAAAAATTGTGTATTTATGCTCATGTGTTTAAATTTCAGTCACCTTCAAAGTACTCTCCATTTGATGCAATATATCAATCGAAATGTTTTTTCCACTGCTCAAAACAGTTTTTGAATTTGTCAATTTTGATGCCTTTTAGTGCTTCTGCCATTTTTTGTTTCACCTCTTCCACACTGGTAAAACGTTAATCTTTGAGGACTTTTTTCATCCGGAGAAACAAAAAAAGTCACTCGGGGTGAGATTGGGTGAATAGGGAGGGTAGAACACAGGAGGGGCGGGGGGTCACGTCGTTTTTGGTCAAATCTGCTGAACACAGTGCGGTGTGGGCAGGTGCGCTTGTAAATTACCAAGCATGAAATGGGCAAACACGTTGAAAGAGACTTCAAAAAAAATTCACTGATGCTGAACACAGCCTCTTACAACAGCACCACCTGGTACACTGATAACAGATGGGCTCCTAAAACACTCACCTATTGAGGGATGCCTATATGACAAGGGGTCCTCCCTCCAGAAGATAATTCTGAGGGGTTTTTTTGGTCTCCCGTGGTACATTATGGCATATCATTGTCTTCAAAAGCTCCTTGTTCTAAAATGGGATACTACTTGGAGGAAACTAACTTTCTTCAAAAGTAGGAGAATGGCATCTAAAATATGGTCTCTGAACTGGCTATACTTTTCCTCCTTATTGTCAGTGGAAGTGAAAACTAGGCTCTTTTAATATATCAAGCGGATGAAATCACTTCTAAAAACTGGAATATCTGTTGTTAGTAGCAATATTTTTGAGATTATGGAAAGCTTATCAATCCTATGGAAAATATTAAAAGCTTCTCTTCGCATGAGGCTATAGTGAATGTCATTACTTTACTGTTGGAGACAAATGGATTTGAATTAAGAATATCATTTTATCCAAAATGCCACCCCATTTAAAAACTGAGCTTGAAGTCTGAATATATAGAACCCCACAGTTAAGGTTTTAACTCTGTATATATTTGGGTGGATTAAATGTCCTATAATTTTTTTCCCTAGAATATTTCTTAAATGTCCAACTTTTCTAATACTTTCAGTCAGTAATAAAAGTTACATGTAATAACCGATCATCTAGCCATTGTACTAAGAACTTCTATATATATCAGTGAATTCATTTAGTTATCACAATCTGGAATGGAGAGGTTAAAAACATAAGCAAATTCAGGATTTTGTGTTTGCATATATATATATATATATACACACACACACAGAGATATGCTTTTAAAGTCCTCTATATTTTCCATATGTACAGTACTGGTTTTTCAAATACATACACATACAAATACATACACAAAAGTATTTGCAATTGACTAAGCAAAATACCTCAGAATTTATTTTCTCATGAGCTATTTGTAACTCCTTTTGTTTGCAAAGGTGATTGGTCAAAATTCCATCTTGTAATATTCTGGCATTCTGTTCTCGAGAAAGTTGCCTCTGAGTGTCATTTCGCTCTTCTATAACCTAGAGACACATTTCATTATGTTTTTAGTCTCATAACATTAAAAAAAGAAGTCATAAACTTATGAGAAGAATCTTAAAAAAACTGTTAAAAGGAGGTAGGCTTTTTAAATACAAGGATCTTATCTTCCATGAAAGACATCGTAATTTAAATTACAGCTAAATTTGTCAAAAAGCAAAAATTGAGTACTGTGAAATAATTTTTTTTGAAAGACATTTGACTACTTCCATGATGGCCTCAAGGCAATTTAGCCGGTATGTTAACATTTCAAAAAGCCAAAATTCACATTTATGTTAATGGATAAGCTGAATTTACCTTCTCTTTTTTCATAGCACTTACTAGATGCTAAGAATTGCAATAAATTAATATTTTTAATTATATATATCACAGGTCATTTTTTGAATGAGATAACATTAAATCAAAGAGTTGTTATAAAATACTGTAAAAAATGAAATGTTTCTGGAATTCTAAGATGGCTGCAGAGTAGGGAGAAGCTGCACCTACCTGCTTCTGGCCCCAAACCAGATTTAAAACTAAATTACAAACAGTTAACCTTAACAACCAACTGAAGCCTAGCTGACCTGAAAAATAACCAAGGATTAGAGAAGAAGCCACATAGAGACTGCTAAGAAGGGTGGAGATAGGGTAAGAGATAGCTCCCCCAACCCCCCTGCCTGTACTCAGGGGTATATGCAGCTGAGAAGCTAGAGGCCTCCCCCTAGGAGCATGGGGCCTCAACCATGCAGCGTCTGCCAGTGAAAATGTGGGGATTCAGTTTGCCTGGGAGACTCCGACTGCATCCTCCCAGGGAAGAGCACAACTATTGATACAGGACCATCCTGGGGGGTTTGTGGTCTGGAATCTGACAACCGGTGAGGCCATGCTGCCATACTTGGGGCCTGCAGAGGGGTCTGCTGGCTATTAAGGGGCCCTCTGTTTTCTGCGGAGGCTTCTGGTGAAGACCCAGACAGTGACTAAATTGTGTGGCTTGGGAAAGAGGGTCAGTCTCCCCCACTTCCAGTGCATAGCTCGCACCCCCCAACCTGTTGAGTCACTCTGCCTTCCCAGTCCTGCTCAGTTCCCCAGTGCAGGGGAGTCTTGCCGAGCTGGGACTTCCCTCCCTATCCTGCTGGGTTTGGCAGTACAGAGGAGCCTTATAGAGCTGGGACTTTCCGCCCTGTCCTGCTGAGTGAGACCTGACACGTGGAGAGACTGGAGTGCCCTGAAGGCTGACCATCAGTCTCATCCTAATTGGTTCGGGGCACAGGGGGCTGGGGAGCCATGCAGAGCTGGGATTTTTGGACTGTGTCTTCTGGGGAGGCATGGTCTGGGAGCCAGACAGGCAAGTGGTGAGCTATGTGGCTACATTGCGGGGAAGCAAATACAAACTCCCCTGTGAGTTCAGCTCATGCTACCCTGTAAAAAGAAGGGCCTACTTCCTTCTTACAGTCTTGCAGGCACCACTCCTAATAGAAGACTGTTTGGATCAGCTCTGCCAGTTCCTGAATACCCCCGCTGGGTGCAGGTCCCCAGAGGGAAGGAAGAGAGGCTCAAAGTGGGGACATTCAAAGTGAGACCCTCAGAGATTATTGACTGAACCAGGACAAAGTGCTTAGCTCCCTCTTACAGGCTGGGCTGGCATAATTTCTAACAACAGCCTCTTTTGATCTATCCCCCTAAGCCCAGGGTGGCTGAGCTTGCTTCTGCAGAGGGGACAGCTGGCTACACCGACCCTGAACCTGCAGGGAGTTCCCCTACAGGGAGTTAGAGTTGGAGACTCTGACAGAGACTGAGGGGTTTGGCTTTGAAGTAGGGGCCACTTTCCCCTCATTGAGTGCCTGACTATGGAATAACCAAGTAGGTGATTCACTAGCCCTTTCCTCCCTACCCTGGTTGCTCCACCCTACCGAGCTCCCAACCTGAGGAAGGGGCTGTGGATCATGACTAGTCTGAGTTCACCGTACAGTCTTTGGAAGGGTCTGGAGGAAGACCACGGCTACCACAGGGAAAGCAGAGTAGCTGACAGGCGCAGGTAACAGAGTTCGGGGAGCCTCAGTCCTTTTATAGGTCTGCCCCCAATGCTAAGTCCCCTCCCATGCACACTCAGGCCCAGTAGATGGAGGCACAAACAGTGAACAGTGTGTTGGCGACAGACAGGAAGCACAAAACTGGTTACACACAACATCTGACAGTAACCTGTATCTGAACTGCATCCAAGTGGACCCAGGACCAACACAACCAGTGGTGGGCTTCAGACCACACCAGAGCTTGACGCAACTAGCCACACAAGTGGCACACCCAAAGGGAATTTCTGGCGGGCACGAGATTCTGCTGGGGACAGCTCTGCCTCAGCGGGCAGCCCCTGCACAGCATCTCATACAAAGTGATTGAGGTTTATCCTTATAAACCTCAAAGGTTAATTTCACCCATGAAAGAGCCAACAGCATTCAAGACCCAACTACAACAGCGAGTGCACATAACCCGCATGTAATATTCCTGAAGCACAGAGCTCAGGGGATGTAGAATATTTTGTCACTGAGTGCAACAAGACAACTTAATAATAAAATCATCATAACAAATTTGGGAGTAATAGCAGATCTACCTAATACACAGACACAAAATGGAAAGACAAAGAAAAATGTCCCAAACAAAGAAAAAAACCCAAGAAAAATCCCCCCTCAAAATAGAATTAAATGAAATGGATGAAATGGAAGCAACCAAAATACCAGATGCAGAGTTTAAAACAATGGCTATAAGGATGCTTAAGGACATCAGGGGAAGAATGGATGATCTCAGTGAGAACTTAAAACAAAAAGATAGTAAGCATTAAAAAAGGACATAGAAACCAAAAAAAAAAAAAAAAAGAACCAGTCAGAAATGAAGAATACAATATCTGAAATGAAGAATACACTAGAAGGAATCAACAACCTGTTAGATGAAGCAGAGGGTTGAATCAGCAAATGAGAGGACAAGAGCACAATAAGTACCTCAGCAGAGCATGAAACACAAAAGAGCAATAAGAAAAATGAGGAAAGACTAAGAAATATCTGTGACAACACCAAGCATAACAACATCCACATCATAGGTATATCAGAAGAAGAGAGTAAGCAAGAAATAGAGAAACTGTCTGCAGAAATAATGGGAGAAAACTTCCCTAACCTGGTGAAGCTAAAAGTCATACAAGTCCAGGAAGCACACAGAGTCTCAATCAAGATGAACCTAAAGAGACCCACAAAAAGACACATCATAATTAAAATGTCAAATTTTAAAGACAGAGAATCTTAAAGGCAGCAAGAGAGACAGTAACACATGAGGGAGTTCCCATAAGGCTGTCACCTGATTTCTCAACAGAAACACTTCAGGCCAGAAGGAATTGGGATAAAGTATTCAAAGAGATAAAAAGCAATAACCTGCCACCAAGATTACTTCCCAGCAAGGCTCTCATTTAAAATTGAAGGTGTGCCCCAGTTAGTGTGGCTCAGTTGATTGGGCATCGTACTGCAAACTGAAAAGTCCCTGGTTTGATTCTCAGTCAGAGCACATACCTGGGTTGTGGGTTCAGTCCCTAGCCAGGGTGTGTACAGAAGGCAGCCAATCGATGTTTCTCTCTCACATCACTATTTCTATCCCCTCTTTCTCCCTCCCTTACCCTTTCTCTAAAATAAAAAATAAATAAAATTGAAGGGGAAACAAAGAGCTTCCAAGACAAAAAATGGAGTTCATTATCACCAAACCAGTATTGCAGGAAATGTTAAAGAGACTGCTTTAAGAAGAAGAAGAAATATATGTAGGAACATAAAGAAAAAAAATATACCTATCAAAACTACTTTAAATGTAAATGGATCAAATGTTTCAATCAAAAGCCACAGGGAGACTGAATAGATAAGAAAACATAACCCATACATATGCTGCCTAAAGGAAACCCACCTCAGAACAAAATATACATACAGGTTCAAAGTGAAGAAATGAAAAAAAAAAAAAATTCCATGCAAATGTAAACAAAACAAAAAAAGAAGCTTGGGGTAGTAATAATTGTATCTGATAAAGCAGACTTCAAAACAAAGCCCATAACAAGAAACAAAGAAGGTCACTACATAATACTAAAGGGATCAATCCAACAAGGATATAACATTTGTAAAGATATATGCACCCAATACAGAAGCACCTAAATATATTAAAAAAATCTTGGTGGACTTTAAGGGAAAGATCACCAACAATACAGCCATCGAGGGGATATTAACACTGCGGTGTCATCAATGTCACCTACCAGACAAAAAATCAACAAGGGAACCGCAACACACTAGACTGGATGGATTTAATTGATAGTTACAGACCATTTCATCCCAAAGCAGCAGAATATACATTCTTCTCAAGTGCACATGGAATAGTCTCAAAAACAGACCACATGTCTTAACAAAAGCAAGACTGAAATCGTATCATCTTGGATGAAAATGGCATGAAACTACAAATCAGCTACAATAAAAAAACTAAAAACATTCAAACACATGTTGTTAAAGAATGAATGGGTTAACAATGAGATCAAGGAAGAAATAAAAAATGACCGGGAAACAAATAAAAATAAACACACAATAACCACAAATATATGGGACATGATGTAAGCAGTCCTAAAAGAAAAGTTTATAGCATTACAGGCCTACCTCAAGAAGCATGAAAAAATCTCAAACAATCTAACCTTATACCTAAAAGAAATAGAAAAAGAACAACAAACAAAGCCCAGAGTAAGTTGAAGGTAGGAAAAAATAAAGATCAGAGTCTAAATAAATTATGAGACTAAGACAATAATACAAAATATCAGTGAAACCAAGAGCTGGTTCTTTCAAAAGATAAAGAAGATTGACAAACCTTTAGTCAGATTCATCAAGAAAAAAACAGAGAGGACCCAAACCAATAAAATCAGAAATGAAAGAGGAGAAATAACAATGACACTTAAGAGATACAAAGGATTTAAGAAAATACTGTGAACAACGATATGCCAACAAACTGAACAACCTGGATATAATGGATAAATTCCTACGAACATACCATGTTCCAAAACTAAATCAGGGAGAATCAGAGAATCTGAATAGACAGATTACACCTAGTAAAAGTGAAGTGGTAATTAAAAAATTCCCAGCAAATAAATGACCCAGACTGGATGACTTCACAGATGAATTTTACCAAACATCCTGAGAAGAACTAATACCTCTCCTTCTCAAACTATTCCAAAAAATTCAAGTGGAGGGAAGACGTCCATGATCATTTTACAAGGCCATCATTACCCTAATTCCTAAACCAGATAAAGACACTCTGTACAGAGAAAGAAAATTATAGGCCAATATACCTGATGAACATAGAAGCTAAGATTCTCAACAAAATATTATCAAACCAAATGCAGCAATACAATAGAGAAATCATATGCCATTATTAAGTGGGATTTATCCCAGGGATACAACCTAGATACAGTATTCACAAATCAATATATGTGATATATCATATAAACAAAATAAAAGACAAAAATCACATGATCATATCAATAGTTTCAGAAAAAGCATTTGATACATTTGATAAAATTCAGTACCCATTTATGATAGAAACTGTAGCAAAATGGGAATAGAGGAATTATACCTCAACATAATAACAGCCATTTATGAAAAACCCTCATCCAACATCATCCTCAATGGACAAAAACTACAAGTATTCCCCTTATGATCAGGAACAAGATAGGGATGTCTGCTTTCATCACTTTAATTAAACATAATACTGGCCATCCTAGCCATAGCAATCAGACAAGAAGAAATTAAAGACATTCAAATTGGAAAGGAGGAAGCAAAACTGTATTTATTCTCAGATGCCATGATATTATACATAGAAAACTCTATAGACTCCACCAAAAAATTACTAGGTCTAATAAATAAATTTTGCAAAGTAGCAGGATACAAAATTAATATTCAGAAGTTGGTGGCATTTTTATACACCAATAATGAATTCTCAGAAAGAGGAACTAAGAAAACAATTCCATTTACTATTGCAACAACAACAAAAAAACAACAACAAGGTACCCAGGAATAAATTTAACCAAGGAATACAAGACCTGTACTCAGAAAACTATAGCACATTAGAAAAAGAAACAGGAAGATGTAAATAAGTGGAAGCGTATATCTTGTCCATGGACTAGAAGAATTAACATCATTAAAATGTCCATTAGTACCCAAAGCAATCTATGGATTCAATGCAATTTCTATTAAAATACCAATGGCATATTTCACGGAACTAGAACATATATCCGCAAAATTTATATGGAACCAAAAAAGACCTCAAATAGCTTCAGTAATCTAGAGAAGGAAAAACAAAGTTGGAGGTATCACAATATATGATATCACACTACACTAAAGGGCCATTGTATTCAAAACAGTCTGGTACTGGCATGAGAACAGGCACATAGATCAATGGAACAAAACAGAGAGCCCAGAAATAAATCCATGCCGCTACGGTCAATGAATATTTGACAATAGTGGCAAGGGTATACAAGACAGGAAAGACAGTCTCTTCAATAAATGGTGTTGAGAAAATTGGATAGGTACATGCAAAAAAAAAAAAAAAACCAACAAAAAACAAAACAAAACAAAAAAACTAGACCATCAACTTACACCCTACACAAGAATGAAGTCAAAATGAATAAAAGACTTAAATGTAAGTCATGAAACCATAAAATTACTAACATAGGCAGTAAAATTTCAGACATCTCTCATAGCAATATTTTGGGTAACATATCTCCTAAGGCAATGGAAACTAATGAAAAAAAACCCCAAATGGGACTATGGTAAACTAAAAAGCTTCTGCAGAGCAAAAGAAATCATCAACAAAATGAAAAAGGAAACCTAATGTATGGGAGAAACGTAATGTATGTATTTGCCAATGAAACATCTGTAAAGGGGTTAATATCTAAAATATATAAAGAACTTTCACAACTCAACACCAGGAAGACAAACAATCCAATTAAAAATGGTCAAAGGACCTGAATAGACACCTCTCCAAAGAGGACATACATATAGCCAGCCAATTGATACATGAAAAAATGTTCAACATCACTAATCACCAGAAAAACACAAATTAAAACCACATTGAGATATCATCTCACACTTGCCAGAATGGCTATCATCAATAAACGAACAAACAAGTGCTGTTGAGGTCCTGGAGAAAAGGGAACCCTCACGCACTGTTGGCGGGAATGCAGACTGATGTAGCTACTCTGGGAAACAGTGTTGAGTTTCCACAAAAAATTGAATATGGAACTACCTTTTGACCAAGCAATCCCACTTCTGAGAATATATCCAAAAGAGCATGAAACACTAATTTGAAAAAAAATACATTCACCTCCATGTTCATTGCAGCACTATTTATAATAGTTAAGATCTGGAAACAGCCAAAGTGCCCACCAATAGATGAGTGGTACATTTACATGATAGAATATTGTTTGGCTGTAAAAAAGAAGAAAATCTTACACTTGTGACAGCATGGAAAGACCTGGAGATTAATATGCTAAGTGAAAAACGCCAGTCAGAGAAAACCAAGTATATTATTTTACTTACATGTGAAATCTAATGAACAAAATCAAATGATGAACAAAATAGAAACAGAGGCATGGATACATGGAACAGACTGACAGCTGTCAGATAAGAAGGAAGGATAAAAGAAAGTGAAGGGATTAGTCAAATAACATATATGCATAACCCATAGACACATACAACAATAGGGTGATAGCCAGAGGGAAAGGGGGACGGGAGCTTTGTTGACATGGGCAAAGTGTGGGTAAATGTGACACCTGTAATAGTGTCAACAATAAAAATAAAGAAAAAAAGAATGAAAAAAAGGTACAAATTAGTAGTCACAAAATAGTCATGGTGATGTAAATAAAGTACAGCATAGGGAATATAGTCAACAATATTGTATAACTATGTACAGTGCCAGGTGGGTACTTAAAATATCTGAGGGACCATGTTGTCTAACCACTATGCTGTACACCTGAAACTAATAAAAAATAATACTGAATTTAAACCTTAACTGAAACATTTTTTTAAAAAGAGGCAAAGCTCTGTCTCCCCAAATGGAAGCTCAGCCATTGCTTACACACATGCACACACGACATTTTTACAAAAGATAAATTTACCTGATTTAAATTCTTTCTTACAACCTTCAGTTCCATCTCTAGTGTTCTAAGAGTGGTTTCAAGTTGTTGGTTCATTTCAACTTGTTGAATATATTGCTCTTCTTTTTTCCTTAACTGCTCCCTTATTTTGTCATATAACACATCCATATTTTTTCTCTTCTCTTTTTCTTCTTTTAATGTAAATCTGCAGTTAAATATACTTATCTTAAAATTCATTTCATTAGAGAAGAAAATGTTCATTTTATAATCTGGTTTCACACATGTTGGTTTATTATCCTCATGAAATTCTTATGTTCTTGAATATTTTTCCTTTCTAGGTTTCATGTTTTTATTTCTCATTTCAATCTCTTCATATATATATATCTAAGAGGCAGCAATGAAAAAACTTTGTTACTTAGTAAGCTTTACCATAGAAAAGAAATTTTGAAATTATTCAGTAAATGTAGACTTGAAATTATCCTTTTTTTGCACAAGCATAATTACTCCTCCATTAGGACATCACTTCATTTAGTTACTATTAGAAAGAGAAGTAGTTGTTTATAAACAGATTTATAAATTTACTAGAAATAAAATTTCAGCTTCACAAAATATTACAGGTACCCCTAAAAATGATTTACATGTAAGACAGCATCTGCGGAAATCTAACAGAAGATATACCTGTTGACCACTGTAATCCAAGACTAGTCTATGGAGTCTAATATCTGTTGCTCTACACTTTTTATGTTTCTTCTTTTGTAACACTTTAAATGTGTTTTTTCATTATTATCTATTTTATAAATCATTTAAAAATCCCTTTGGAAGAAGACAGAATATTAATCCAACCATAAAACCATGAAAGCACAGACCTTTGAGTTAGTTTTATCTATGTGTAAGAAAGATGATGAATAAGCTGATTGGTCATCACTTTCCATTCTAGGTATATATTAAAACTAAAATTGTATTAGTTTTTAAAAAAATTTTTCTCTCTCTTGAGAAAAATGGCCATTTCATGCTCTGTTGGTGGGAATGTAAATTGATGTGAACTGTATTGAGAAAAATTTAGGAATATGAACCAAAGATCCTTTTTTAAAGTTCTTACACTTAACCAAATGATACTCTATTAAAGAATTCATTCAGAATACATAATCAAAAATGTAGAAACCGACTTATATAACAGACATTCCTGGCAGGATTAATTATAATATATAATAATGAAAAACTACTAAAATTCAATTTATTAAATAAACAATGAAATTTCCATATGGTGGATTTCTATATGGTCCTTGAAATCATGATTTAAAAAATAAATATTAACTTATTACTAGAAGTATGCACTGTAAAAAATTGTTATATTATTCCGAGAGGTCATACTCCATAATAGTAAAGGAAATGTTCTTCCCTGTAAAATTTTAGATGGTAATAAGGCTATTACAAAACTTTTCCTACTTATACAGAGTATGTAAAAATAAAAGTAAATACTTAAATATTTCTTTAAAAACAAATTATTCAATACCTCAAGTTGCAGAGTTCTTGTTCCCATTCTACTTTTTGATGCTCTAATTGTGATTTCATTTCTTTTGTTTCTGATAGCTCCTTTTGTAGTCCACTAATCCTATTTTCCATTTTTTTAATTTTTCCTGTAAGTATTTCACAGTGATTTTTCTTAAGTTCTATTAATCTTTCATTGGAAAGAAGTGCGTCCTGGATTTTCAGTAGGCTAACAGAATCTGCATCAGAAAGAAAACAAAAATAGAAAAATAAATGAGTACTTTTTGTGTCTTAAGACTGTGCATTTACATACTCATTCATACATTGAAAAAATATATATTGAGTACCTACAATGTGGAAGACATTATACTAAACTCTTCAAATAAAACAGACAAGGTCTCTGGTTCTTGTTCAGTTTAAAGTCTATTAGAGTAAAAAGACAAATTAAATGCTAATTATAAAATCAGGTAGATATTTTAAGTAAACAGAGTTCTATGATCAGGTAATAGAACTCAAGATAGAATGGGCCCAAAGAAGATTTCTCTGAAGAAGAGATGGCTATAGTGATAAATGCAAGATGAGCTGGGGGCAATTAGACAAAAGAGGAAGGAGAACATTCTAGATACTCTACAGCATGTGCATAGATACTCTATGCAATCTACTTCTAACAAGATGGAGTAATAGATACTGATTTATCTTCCTACCTGAAACAAGGAAGAACAAAACAGACAAAATACATTTAAAAACTATTTTCAAGACAACAAACTTCAGGTAACGAAGGGCAATGATTCTTGAAGCAAATGAAGTGAGCCTAATGAATATCCCAGCTTACTGCCTTTAGGGAATTTCCAGGCCACAACACAGTGAGTTAGGTGATGAAGCTGAGGGTCTGATGAAACTAAGGTGCGTAGAGATCACAGATTGGAACCCTGGAGAAGAGGGAGCAGAATGGAAAAAGAATCCTGGAGGTTTCCAGAGATTACTCAGCTGAGTCATGAACAGCGCAGATATGGGCAGAAAATCATAGCCGACCAGGGAAAACAAACATCTGAAAATAAAGGAAGCAGTACCTGGTGCTCAGTGCTCACACAGCACCAGCAATAGTACCTATTTCCATTACCCAGGTTGAAAAAACTGGTAACTCACAGGCTAATGAACAGAGCAGGCAGAAAGGTCTTGCCTCAGTAAGGGAGAGTAATTAGCCTTTGGCAAAGCACTGCTCTGGTTTCATCTAACATCTTAACAGCAAGACCAGAAAGGATCAAACTGTTTTTAAGAAACTTAACTAAATTGCAAACAAAGCTCAAAAAGACAAGTAAAGGCATGAAAGCTATTTAAAAAAACCAAAACAAATTGCACTATAAAGATGCAAAATATAATGTCAGGCATGAAAAATATACTGGATAGGAATAAAGGCATATTAGACATCACAACAGAAAAAATTATTAAATTTTAATCAGTGAATTGTGAGAAAAATTAACTGGCAAATGTATAATTCCCAAAAAAGCAGGGGGAACGGAAGGTTACAATTTTACTATGTTACATATGATATGCTATAATACTACTTGAAAGTAGATTGTGATAATTGAAAGTCACTTGTCATAAAGCAACTCTAAACCAACCACTAAAATAGCAAAAGAGTTATGCAAACAAGCCAAAAAAAGAAATACAACTAAATCATAAAAATTACTCAATTAATTGAAAAGAAGACAGGGATGAAAACAGAACAAAGAGCAGATGCGACAAAAAGAACTCAAACAGCATGAATGACAGATTCAAACCTACTATATTCACAATCACATTAAATGAAAGGTGTCTAAAAACCTCAATTAAAAGACAGATTGTCCAACTGGGTAAAAAACCAAGACCAACTGCATTACACCTGTAAGAAATACATTTTAAACATGAAGACACAATTTTAAAAGCACAGACATGAAATTTAAGACACTAACACCAGAAAAAAGAAGGCTGAGGTAAGTGGCTATCTTGACACCAAAGTAGATTTCAGAGCAAAAAGTAATATCAGTCATTAGCAAGGTCGATGAATAATGATAAATTAATAAGGAGCATATTAATCCTAAATGATCATGTACTTAATAACAGTTTCAAAATACATGAAGCAAAAACGGATAGAACTGCACAGAAAAATAGACAAGTTTACAATTACAGATTTTAATACCACTCACTCAAAAAAGCCAGAACAAGTAGGTGGAAAATCATCTGGGATATAGTAGACTTAAACACCCTTCCTCTTTTCAAGTACCTATGAAACACCAAAAAACACTATATTCTGAGTCATAAAATAAATCTTAATAGAGAGAGTCAGTCAAAATGATTTAAGTCATATAAAGTATGCATGCTAGCTACAAAGATATCAAATTGAAAATTAAAATTAAAAATATCTCTGGAAAATACTCAAGTGTTCGGAAACTAAGTTACATATCTAAATAACCCCTGGGTCAAAGAGGTAATGAAAAAATTAGAAAGAAATTAGAAATTAGAAAAGTATTTTAGACTGAATGTAAATGAAAATAAATACATTAGACTTTGTGGAATGCTGCTATAGTGGTACTTAAAAGTGAAATTTACAGCACTGAATATCTGTATCAGAAACGTCTCAAATCAATGACCTTAGCTTCCACATTAAGAATCTAGAATCAGAAGAACAAATTAAACCTAAAGCAATCAAAAGATAAGAATAATAAATATCAAAGACAAAATCAGTAAGAGAGAAAATTAAGAAAGATTAAAGACAAGACAACGAAACAAGTGCTTTCTGAGAATCAATAAAAGTAATAAACCTCTAGTAGGCCAGTAAAGGAAAAGAGAGAAGGCATAAATTACCAAAATAAGTAATGTGATATTACTGCAGATTTTATAGAAAATAACAGAGTAATATTAAAAAATTTATGTAAATAAATTTGACAATTCAGATGAAGTAGGTCAATTCCTTGAGAAACAGAAATGATCAAAACTCAAGAAAGAACAGATAATAAGATAAACAGCCCTGTATCTATAAAAGAATCTAAAATTCTAGTTAAAGACCGTTCCAAAAAGAGAAAAACCTCCAGGCCCAAATGGCTATACTGGTGTATTCTACCAAACATTTTAGAAAAAAATAATACCAATTCTACACAAATTCTCTCAAAAAATGAAGAGGAGAAATAGGCCTCAACTCATTCTCTAATACCCTGAAACCAAAATCAGACAAAGATGTTTTAAGAAAGCTATGTCATGAGCATGTAGGTAAAAATTCTAAACAAAACATTAGCAAATCAAATCTGACAATGCATCCAAAGGACAATTTGTCATAACCAGATGGGGTTTATCGCACGAATGCAGGGCATGTTTAACACTCAAAAATCAGTGACGGTAAAGGGGGCCAAATACATATTGAGGGAAGGAGAATAGACTTTGAGTGTCAAGCACACAATACAGTACATAAATGTCATATTATAACATTGAACACCTGAACTTTATATGTTACTAATCAATCTTACCTTAATAAATTTAATTTAAAAAGATCTTTCCACATCAGCTCCAAAATCATTTCTTTTTTAAAAAGATAAATACACACCCTATACTCACAGGAAGGAAAATTTTTCCAGTGGGAGTGGGGGCATGAATCTTTAGCTACTGCATATATTTGTAACATCGCTCACATTCCATTATAAGAATCTACTAATTTTGTTGATCATTTATTTCATTGAGAGTACAACTAGATGGATATATTTGTAAATCCCAGTGTGAGCAAGTTACTAGTGGCAAAGTCAAATTTAGCTAAATATCCATTCAAACACTACAGCAAAATAAGTTTGTTTTTGTTTTAAGGTAGACTTTTTCAAACTAGAACTATAGGATTTACAATCCAGCTTCCTACCAAGTGAGAAAATTTTTTTTTTAAGTGATACCTCTGGATTTATCTTGTGACTTTCATTACAGAGGTCAAAGCACTTTGTTTTCACTTATTCTTAGTGAATAACCAGGTTATAATGGTGGATTACATAAATATTTACAAATGAGATAAATTGCCATGTATTAACATTTAACATTTTAAAACAGCAGATTCTCCTTTTTTGCTGTAGTTTTCACACTTTTATAAATAAATGCAAAGAGTAGCAAGCAATTAAGAATGTGAAAGAACTTTGGCTTTGAATTCAAATAGACTTGGGTTCAGATCCTAGATATTTACTTTGCTTCTTTCAGCTTCCTTTTTCTCCTTTATAAAACAGTGATAATTTGTACCTTCTAAGGATTAAAGATATTATTAAGAAAGGTCCCAGCGCTGTGCCTGAATCATACAGTTATTCAATAAATGGCAAATTATGTCATTAAAAAAAAACCCCAAAACAAATGGACACATTTAATTACTGTTGTCCCTCTCTTAAAATCTCTAAGCTCTGATTGCACAGAAGCCTTTACTGATCACTTCTTTCCACTGGGAAGGAGAAGATCACCTCCTGAAGGACAGTGAGGGCAACATAGGTGGTGTGGTCCCAGGGAAAGGAAGTGGAAGCAGAGAACTTCTATCAGAAAAGAGGAAGAAAGAACAGAAAGGGAGCATGAAGTCTGACTTGATCCTAACTACCTCCATGGACAGAAACCCAGGTCAATAAAAGCAAAAACTGAAAGCAGAGGAGCTTCAGGAGTTTACCCTGCTTCCTATCTGGCATTCTAGGAAGAGACATCCTTGCAAGACAACGACACCCAAGAAAGAACTACTACAAACAGGATAAAACGGCAGCATGGTGTGAATAGGCCAAGGGAGATTCCATGATGGCAGGCCTCCAACTTCCTTGGGCCTTGTGCAGCAGGCTCTTGTGTCCAGGTGTTCTGTCATGACCAGTAGTGTACATGGAAGGTTGTGGTTGAGAGTTGAGAGTGAGAAGCCATTGGGGTCATTGTGAAATGCTGCAAAGCAGACAAGCTAGGCTTGGGCTCAAGGGACAGACGTGGCTGAGACACAAAGACCAATAATGATTCAGCATGTTCTAGGAGGTGGAATTTGAGTCTTCTGGGCCGTCCTGGGCACCAGTGCTCTCTGTGGACTCATTGGGTTCCTTGCTGTCACTGCCACTGTTGTCAGGGGCTGGGTTCTTCTCCTGACCGGACCCTTTAGAACCAGGAAGTGTGCTGCCTCTGGTCTCTCCCTTCTCCCAGCACCACGCAACAGCCTTTCTCCTTCAGCTCCAGCGGCGGTCTCAGCTCATTTGCCATCTGCGTGAGACTCCGCTTCATAGCATAAGCATCTTCTCCATCTGCATAGTATTTGGGTTCCACCTCACTAATCTGGAAGTTGAGGGTGTCAGAATACAAGTACAGGGTGGCCCAGTTACTCTTCCTGACATGCAGGGGCACGTACTTGGCATTAAAGTTCTCCACCATGGCCCGGGAGGCCTGGTCCACGAGCTTCTGGGCCAGGCCGAGGCGCCGGTGTGAACGCTTCACCGCCAGGGAGGTGATGTGTCTGTGCTGGACATCAGCTCCGTCTTCCTCCATTTTGGCCAGGATGTAGCCCACAATCTTCCCGTCCTCATCCTCAGCGATGTAAAAGAGCTGGGGCCAGGAAAGGCCGTGGTAGAAATAGTATTTCATCTGGTAGTTCTCGGGAAGGCAGAGGAGGTTGCAGTGTTGCATGCTCGTCAGGTCGCTTGGCCTAGCATTGCGGATGTTCATAATGGCGGTAGTAGTGAGCTGAAGCCTGACGGTGGTGACCCAGAAAGAGGCACACAGGACACTGTTTATCTCGCGGTTTGAGTACCGGGGCCCAGGCCACCGCCCTGGATGGCGCAGAGGCGGGAAGGTGGAATCAGAAAAAAAATGTTTTTTTCTGAACTGTATAGTCCTAAATTTGTCTTTAAAAGTAGTTATAAATGGGTACAGGGTTTCTTTTGGGAGTGATGAAAATATTTTTACATCAACTGTGGTGATGTTGTACAACTCTGTGAAAATACTTAAAAATGACTGAATTCTACTTTTTAAATTGATTAATTGTATGGTAATAAATTATATCTCAATAAAGCTGTTATTTTTTTAAAAGTAAAAAAATCAACTGTTATTTACCATATTAATAAACCACATACTATAATCATATCACTAGGGAAAAAAAGGCACTGGACAAAATTCAACATCTATTCCTGGTTAAAAAAGAAGTGGTGGGTTGGTGAGGCAGGGGAGAGCAATGGAGAAAAATGTGGGACAACTGTAATTGAGTAAAAATAAAAGAATCTTTAGCAAACTAAGAATACAAGGAAATTTCTTTAATATGATAAAAAAAAAGAAAGACCTATGAGAACTCTATAGCAAACATCACAAGTAATCATTAAAAGGTGAATTCTTGCCCTAAAGAATCAGGAATGAGACAGGAATGATCACTTTTCCTGTCTATGAGGCACTATACTAGAATTTCTAGCCAGTGTAATTAAGCAAGATTAAGAAACAAAAGCCATCCATACAGGAAAGGAAGAAGTAAACCTGATCATATAACAGGAGCCAGTAAACTCCAACCTGTGGGCCAGGTTGCTTGTTTCAGTAAATAAAATGTTACTGAAATATAGTCATGTCCATTAATTTTTAATAATAGTAGTTTAAGGAAGAAAGTCTGACAACATTTTGTTATGTAGAAAATCTGACAGAGTCTACCAAAAAGCTGCTAGAACTAATAAATGAGTTTAGCTAAGTTGAAGGATACAGAATCAATATACAAAAATCAATTGTATTTCTATATATTGGCAGTGAACAAACAATCAGAGGTTAAAATTTAAGATATATTATTTACAACTGCATTAAAAAATAAGAAATACTTATGGATAATCTCATAAAAGATAGAAAGATCTATACACTAAAATATTACTAAGAAAAATTAAAGAAGACCTGTATAAATGGAGACATATACTTTGATCAGGGGTTGAAAATTTGATATTGTTAAAAATATCAATTTTTCCAGGATGGTGAACTCATTTGAAAAAGGCACAGTGACTTAAAGTAGAGAAAATACAGCCTTTTCAACAAATGGTGCTGGAACACCTGGATATCCATATGCAAAGGAATGAACTTGGATCTATAACTTGCATCATATGTAAAAGAGAAAACAAAATGAACCATATTTAAATGCAAGACCTAAAATGATAAAGTTCCTAAAGGAAGACTTAAAAGAAAACGTTGTGACCTTGTGCTAGGCAAAGTATTCTTACACATGAACAATAAAAGCAAAATCCATAAAAGAACAAATGGATAAACTGGATTTCATCAAAAAGAAAAAGTAGCCTTGCCAGTGTGTCTCAGTTGGTTGCAGTGTTGTCCCCTAACCAAAAGGTCACAGGTTTGATCCCTGGTTTGGGTGTGAAACGATCTCTGGTTTGGGTGAGAAACAATCCCTGGTATACGATAGGGGACCAATTAATGTTTCTCTCTTATCTTCATCTCTCCCTTCCTCTCTCTCTAAAAAGCAATGAAAAAATGTCCTCTGGTGAGGACTGAAAAAAAAAGAGGATGAAAAACTTCTGCTCTTCAAAAGACACTTGTGAGGAAAACAAAAAGACAAGCCAAAGTCTGGGAGAAAATTCCTTGTAGAAAAATATGGCTGACAAAGAAATTGTGTCTAGAATATATAAAGAACCGTCAAGACTCAAGAAATATGAAAACAATGTAATTTTTAAAATGGCAAAAAATTTACACAGATAGTTCAGAGAAGATATACAGATGGCAAATAAGTACATGAAAAGATGCTCAACATAATTAGTTATTAGGGAAATGCATATAAAAACCATAATGATATACATACTGCACCCATCAAAATGGCTAAGATTTAAAAAACCGACAATACTAGATTTAGTGAAAATATGGAGGAACTGAAAGTCTCCTATACTGCTGGTGGGAATGGAAAATGGTGCAAAAGAACAATTTGGCAGTCTCTTAATAAGGGATATAAAAGGGTATGAAAAAACCTTTAGGAGTGATAGATATTTTAACTATCTGGGCTGTGGAGATGAGTTCATATGTGTATACACATGTCAAAACTATGAAACTATACATCTCATATATGTGTAGTTTACCTAACTAAGTTGTTGGAAAAAAAGCACTTACAGGAAAAAATGTAAGACAGTGGCTGTAACATGGATGGAAAGAGGATATGAAATGATGCAAAATGAAGCTAGAGGATATTGTGGTGTTCAACCTTAGAGCAATGACAAGTAAAGGCTGGGTTTTAAACACAATGAGATTTCAATTTTTTAAATATATAATTATTACAGTTGCAATGTAGACCAATAGTCCAGGAGATGAAAAGTGAGGAAAAATAGTTATGAGGTTATTTCAGTATTCTGGGAGGGAATCTTCATAACCTGACTGTGGGTGAAGGCATCAAAAGAAAGAGTCAATAAACACACTAGGCACTGACATTCACACTGAGAAAGTAGAGTGGAATTATCATAGCTCTTTGAATGAGAGCATATAATCGCTCACACTTTATAGTAATATAAAACATATTTCTTAGGTAAACAGCTATAAAACACATCAGTGCTCTATTGTTCAGTACTAGAGAAGTTGTGCATCTATTATTACAGTATACATAAAAACACCTTATATTTATCCAAGAGTCCTACCTTTACAATCCATGCCAAGTTGTTCAATTAGTAACAAGGAATTCTTACAACTGGAGTAAGGCAACTCACAATGTTCTGAAACTGTTTCAGATGACTGAGTTAAGTCATCAAGGTTATCCATGGAATTAAATTCCTCTTTGACCTACAAATAAATAATACTGTTTTTCAAAATGTTGGTAAAATATATTATGTATAAATATCCACCTTTTTATAAACGCAAAAACACAGATATTCTTAAAAGAACTGATTTTTATAAAAAAGATATCTTTATTAATAACTAATATTTCTAAATTACTTTCTCCAAGTACATGTCTCTACAAAAAGGAAAATTTTCTATTTTTGCTCTGTATCTATTTTAATTTTTTTACTACAAATAATATTTTTGATAGTTTATTTTTTACAATACCTTGTTCTCTTCACTAGATGTTTTCTCTTCATGAGATGTTTTCTGTGCAGACCTAAAAAGAAAACAAACAACTGTTCTCAGGTAAATATTAAATACTTGAGATACAAAGAATAGCTAAACCTGTTGTTTCTTATGTAAAATGTCTGCATTTGTAATTTTCTATAAGGGGCATTAAACAATAAATAGAAAGAATAACTGACATTAAAGGACAAAGAAAATACACTACTAATAATATTAATATGAAGTACTAAATTCAGATCAAGCTGATAGTCAATGCAAAAGGAAAAACACGTTTGTTACTTGCACTATTTGATAGGAAGAAATAATATACCAAGGTTTTTTATTGTCATTTTCAATAAAAACAAGTTTTTACTGGCACTAAGACCTAGTTGGAAAGTATTAGTTAAGCCCTTATATGAAGGAAACCTTTTTATGATAGTCATGATATTAGCTTTTTGAGGACTTACTATGCAACAAGTGGGCATTATTGTGAGCATTTTACATGTCTTAGGAGCATTTTAATCCTGGCAAAAAAATCTTGAAGGTAGGCAATATATCAGGTATTTTACAAAGAAATAAAATAAGGCATAGAAAAGCTAAGTCGCTTGCCAGAGTCTATAGAGGTGGTGAATAGCAGATCCAGAATTCAAACCCAGGAAATCTGGCCTCAAAACATGTGTTTTGAGAACGGGCAAGATGGTGGCATAGGCAGACATGGCTCGCCTCCTCACACAACCATATCAAAATTACAACTAAAATATAAAACAACTGTCACTCAGAATCATCAGAAATTGAGGTGAATGGAAGTCAGACAACTACAAAATTAAAGAAACCCCCTCCATCCAGACTGGTAGGAGGGGTGCAGATGCAGAACAGACTGGTCCCTTACCCATGTGTGGTGGATAAAAATTTGGGAGGGATATCTCAGGAACGACGAGTCCCAGTCCCACACCTGGACCCCCAGCCCATGGTTTCAGTGCTGGGAAGATAAGTTCTCACAACTTCTGGCTGCAAAATACAGCAGGGATTGACTTGGTCCAAAAGACTGCTGGAGCCCCAAAGAGTTCCTCTTAAAAAACCCACACATGAACTCACCTACTCAGACTCACTCCCTCTGAGCTCCAGCATTGGGGTAGCAGCTTGAAAGGCACCAAGTGACATACTGGGAGAAACTGAAGTGTCTGGCATAGGTAAGCAGAAGCCATTGCCACTTTTCCCCAAAGAGCCACACAGCCAGAGAGCCAGCAAGCTGGTGCCATATTTGAGACTCCATCAACCTGGTTAACACTGTTTGCCTCACCCTGGAGATCCCCTGAGACTCTGCCCCACCCAACTTATAAGCCTACCCAAGCTGCTTTTCCATATGAATGGCTGGTCACAACTTCTCAAATCTTCTCAAACAAACAACAGCTGACCTCATTGAGCCCCAGGCCCTACACTAATAGCCAGCAGCCAGACTAGATTCACTGCTCGGCTTTGCTTAGGAATCTCCAAGTCTAGCACAAGTAGCAGCCATTTCAGATTGCTTTACAGCTCAGGCAGGGTTGCCCCAGGCAAAACACGGGTTGGGGCTGACATTGGCCTGTACCACCTGGGAAACCACAGGGCCAGTGCATCCAGTGGACAGCTACAGACCACATTGGAGTACTACCACCCTGCCCCTGCATAGCTGATCCTTCACAGAGGGCACAGGTTGGGGGTCAGTGGTCACAACCCCTTGCAGCTGACTGGCCTGGGTAAATCCCTCCCATTGACCTGCCAATAGCAACCAACGCTCAACTACAAGAGGAGGGTGTACTCAGCCCTCATGAAGGGTGCACCTTGAGTACCCACCTTGGATGATAGGGGAGGCTGTGCCATTGAACACTACAGGACACCTAGTACATTAGGCAACACTACCAAAACACTGAGTCAAAGCAGCTCTACCTAATACATAGAAATAAACACAGGGAGGCTGCCAAAATGCGGAGACAAAGAAACATGGCCCAAATGAAAGAATAGAACAAAACTCCAGAAAAATAGCTAAATGAAATGGAGATAAACAATCTATCAGATGCAGAGTTCGAAACACTGGTAATAAGGATGCTCAAGGATCTTAGTGAGGATCTCAGCAGCACAGAAAAGATCCAGTCAGAAATGAAGGATGCACTAATTGAAATAAAGAACAATTTACAGAGACACAACAGAGTAGAGTGGATGAAACCCAGAAGTCAGTCAATGATATGGAACATTAAAGAAGCAAAAAACAACCAATCAGAACAAGAAGAAAAAATCCAAAAAGATGAGGACAGTATAAGCAGCCTTTGGGACAATTTCAAGAGGTCCAACATATGCATCATAGGGGTGCCAGAAGGAGGAGAGAAAGCAAGAAATTGGAAATCTACTTGAAAAAAATAATAAACTTTCCTTATTTGGTGAAGGAAATAGGCATGCAAACCCTGGAAGCATAGAGAGTCCCAAACAAGATGGATGCAAAGAAGCCCATGCCAAGACATATAATTAAAATGCCAAAGCTTAAAGAAAGACTTAAAAGCAACAAGAGAAAAGAAGTTAGTTATCTAGAGTGGAGTTCCCATAGGCTGTCAGCTGACTTCTCAAAAGAAACTTTGCAGGCTGGAAGGGATTGGCAAGAAATATTCAAAATCACGAAAAGCAGGGGCCTACAGGCAAGATAGTTCTACCCAGCAAATCTATCCTTTAGAATATAAGGGCAGATAAAGAACTTCCCAGACAAAAAAAACTAAAGGCGTTCATCATCACCAAACCATTATTATATGAAATGTTAAAGGACTTAGGTAAGATAGAGAAGATCAAAACTATGAACAATAAAATGGCAAAAATACATATCTATCAACAATTGAGTCTAAAAAACAAACTAAGCAAACAGAAGAAGCGAGAAAGAATCATGGATATGGAGAGCATTTTGATGGTTGCCAAATGGGAGGGGACTATGGGGGAACAGGTAAAGAGATGAGGGGATTAAGAAGTACAAATAGATAGTTACAGAATAGTCATGGGTATGTAAAGTACAATACAGGAAATGGAGTAGCCAAAGAACGTATATGCATGACCCATGGACATGAAGAATGGTGGGGAGACTGCCTGAGGAAGTGTGGGGGGTGCTGTGTGAAGTAGAGGCAAAGAGGGAAAAACCAGGACAATGGAATAGCATAGTCAATAAAATATAATTAAAAAAGGATGTTAGATTGAGGAAAAAAATCGTGTTTCACAATATGCTTTGAAATAATACTTATTTTTAAGTATTATGATAGTAAATGAGTTTACATTATTCTATTTCTAGCTATAATTATAAATAATAATTTCTGAATATTACCCCTATTTTTAAAAAATAAAAAGAATTTTATATCTAGGCCATACTGAAAATATTCTTTTAATAACCTAAAGATGTTTTTGATAAACAAATTCATCAACAGGCATTCATTCATCATTCAATGGTTTATTCCCACATTCAAACTATAGTTACTGAGAATATAGTATGTGTTAATGGCACTGTTGGCATAGACCCAACGGTTTTTATACTTTAGAAATTTATAGTACAAAAGTAATAATTTACAATAGATTGTTACCAGTTTATTTTTCTGTTGCACATACATAAAATTTTCCTCTTTTCCCCAGAATCTAAAAGACTATTAATATAACCTAATACTTTAGAATACCTTACAAAATCATAGCTATTCATGAAGATAACTGTCAAAGGCACTGTAATATCTAGAATTTTTAAGAAATGATTAAGTTCTATTAAGTATGGTTTCAATGTTTGTTTATTATTATTTAATTTTTAAAATCTGTATGTGATCATATAACTTTTAAGTAATTATCTGCATAGTCAGTATATAAGAATATTCCAATGTGAAACCATTCTAAAGAAACAACCTCTTACCACAAAAGTGTACGTGATAGGAGTACTATGGACACTTAGCTCACTCTAATCTTTTTTTATTTTTAAAAAAATTTTATTTATTCATTTTTAGAGAGGAAAGGAAGGAGAAAGAGAGGCACAGAAACATCTATGTGTGAGAGCTACATCATCGGCTGCCTCTCGCACGCCCCCAACTGGGGACCTTCCCACAACCCAGGAATGTGTTCCGACTGGGGCAAACTCACAACCACCTTTTAGCTGGCAGGCAAGCACTCAATCCACTGAGCAACATCAGCCAGGGCAGTTTACTCTAATTTTTAAAATATAATGCAATACAATCTAGGAGCTTTCCAATACTTGGAAATGCAAATAAATTTAATATATGTCCATCTCTACTGGATCATTTCCAGTAACATACAGACGTACTCCGCAAACTCCCATTTTAAAATAAAAAAGAAAGAAAACTCCCTTGAACTCCACATTCTTCTTCCATCATCACCTGTTTTTCTATTGCCCCTCCCAGTAAAAATTCTCTAAGGAATTGTTTATACTTATTTACTAGAGTCTGGCTTCCATGGCAACTATTTCTTGAAACTGCTTATTTTAAGAGTCAGTTGTTATCTTAAACTTTCAACAGTGATACAGACTCAGCCTGTACACTACATATGGTGTTTTATTTCCAGAAAGAGTAATCATTGCTAATATTCCTTTACCTAGAAATAAAAAATTTATAGGTTTTACCTTCTACCATTCTGATCTCTTTCACTTAAACTGCTGTTACCATTCACTTTCAGTAAACCACCAGTTAGTGAATCAGCCTTCTCAAACGTTGGTATAATTACAGGTTATTATGATGTTCATTTCTCATTTTCATTTTTCTTTACCTCCCTCATTTGCAAGCCATGGCCACTGCTTTTAAAAAATTCATTAAAGAAGCCGATGTTTTCTAATAATTGTACTGATAAAGACTTTAGAAGTACTGTGAAATTCCAAATCTTACCTATATTAATTCATTTACTAATTCACAAAGCAGTTATGAAGTACTAAATGTATGCAAGGAAATACACATTCCTTGCTAAAAAGAAAGATACAAGTATAATACAATGTGACAGTTAAGAGTTGATTATGAAGAGTTTTAAGTGAACACAAGGAAGACTGACAGAAGAGGTAAA